GTACAATCTCACCGCGGATTCAGCTTTCAAATTCGTGAGGGGCCGTCCATTAATCACGTAATCTTGTTTTAAGCATTTTTTAACGTCCCCTCCCCCCCCCCACCTTGGGTGATAAGTGATGAGGTTTAAAACTACCCCCCCCCCCTTCCCACCCAACATCACGAGTATTTTTAGTATCTACAAAAATCTTAAAATTTTTAGAATATTATCTTTAAATACAGGTATAAAGTATAATCTTATTTTATTCTGAAATTAAGGCAGATTGCAGATTGTTTTTAATTGGCATAATATAAAGACCCCACTCCCCCTTGTGATATTTCGTGATTTTTGCCAACCCCCCCCCCCCTCCCCCCTTTGTCGCGTCACGTGATTAATGGATGGCCTAAGTGATGCTTACAGAATATCTCTGCGGACGGCTCCCAAGCATTTCACCGATACCTGCATTGTTGAATACGAATGAGTCACGCGTTACTCAATCGTATATGTACATGTCTCTCCACAATGACAATTATAAATATAATGGGCGAGACAATCGCCGGCCACTCACTGTCATTGGCTCGCGTATTGTTATCGAAGTTATATAACACTGTCAGACTTTACCAGGCTGATGTATTATTATTATTTTTTTTGTCCAAAAATTCTCATCTCCCCTCTTAAGGAGAGGAGATGGCAACATACCCCCGGCAGAAGCACAGTCGGCCGGAGTTCAGGGCCCCAAGGAGAGAAACCGGCGTACAATGCGGGCAGAATCTAACAGCACCGCTTTCTGCATCTTTCCCGGGAGTGAACCGCCCCGGAATCCCAACCGTCTGAGATGTTGTTCCAGACTGGTTGGGATAAGACCGTTCACCGACATAACGATTGGAATGATTTCGGTGGACATCACCCCCCACATTTCGGTCACCTCGTGAGCCAGGTCGAGATACTTTCTCTTTTTCTCAGTTTCGGCTTTCACGAGGTTCTCGTCGTGCGGTATGGTGATGTCCACCAAAAACACCCTCGAAAGTGCCCGATCCATCACCACGATATCAGGTTTGTTCGCAAGAACGGTCCTGTCCGTGATGATGGATCGGTCCCAGTAGAGCTTGACGCTGTCGCTTTCGAGGACCGGCTGGGGCTCGTACTTATAGTACGGCAACCTCTCATTCGCGAGGCCGTACTTCAGAGCTAGTTCTTGATGGAGTATTTTGGCTACCTGGTTGTGTCTGTGCAAGTACTCAGTGTTGGCAAGAGCTGAACAACCCGAAAGCACATGTCTGAGTGACTCTCCGGGATGGCGACATGCCCGACAGATGTCCTCAGTGCCATCCTTCAGAATGTGCTTTCGGTAATTGTTCGTCTTAACCACCTGATCCTGTATTGCACAGACAAAACCCTCGGTCTCTCCGAAGAGATCACCGAACTGTAGCCAGTGCACGGAGGTCTTCGTGTTGACGTACGGCCCGTGAAGGGCTTTGAAGAACCTTCCGTGCAACTCCTTCTCTTTCCATACGGCCTCCCGCTGAGAGGTACCCAGGACTTCGGGTTTTCGCCAGTCCTCTTTAGCCAGAGAAAGAGGGGTGAATCCTTTGTCACATTCTATGACCTCTCTATGCAAACCCTCGTCTCTTTTCTTCAGAAAATATGTCCTGAGACTGTCAATCTCGCGGTTGTGCATGGTCTTAACGCTTAACAAGCCTCGACCACCAGCCTTCCGCGGGATGTACAGCCTCATGACTGACGATTTCGGGTGATGCATTCTATGGAGGGTCATAGTTGTGCGGACTTTTCGATCCAGGGCTTCGAGTTCGGTTTGAGACCATCTGAGTACGCCAAAAGTGTAAAGGAGTACGGGTATGACCCAGCCGTTATATGCTCGGATCTTATTGGCACCCGACAAGGAACTTTTCAGTACTCTTGTAAGGCGCGCAAAAAATTCCTCACGGACTGACTGTTTCATATCCGTCTCCCTCACACCGATGTTTTGTGACATGCCCAGATACCGGTATGTTTCAGCCTCGGAGAGGGTTTTGATGTTGGAGGGATCTGTAACGATCCCTTCAGTTTGATTGACTCGTCCCCTCTGCACATGGAGAACCGCGCACTTGTCTATTCCGAGTGCCATCCTAACAGAGCTGCTATAATCGTTTACAATATTTAACAGCTCTGTCAGGCGTTCGACACTCGGAGCTAGTAGTTTCAAGTCATCCATGTACAGAAGGTGAGACACTCGTGTACCTCCTCTCCGATACTGAAATCCAGTCCCCGGATTCTCCAGTAAAGTACTGAGAGGATTCAGGGACAGGCAAAACCAAAGTGGACTCAAACAATCGCCCTGGAATATTCCCCTCTTAATCTCAATCCGATCAGCGGCATCCGTCAATCGCTCGCCCTGGATAGTCAGAATCGTTATTATTATTATTATTATTATTATTATTATTATTCAATTGCGACTCACACGAATAGGTGCATACTGAATTTCTAAAGATATAATAATAATTATAAAAACCCTGGACAATTAACACAAGTAGAGCTAGTGTTATGTGTACTAGACAACTGATATAAAATATATATATATATAAAAGTGTGATATATAAAATATATATAAATAATAATAATATAAAACAAAACTGTCAGAACATGGTATGTACAGCTACACACACAGATATTAAAAATCTATACATATAAATAAAATTGGAATGTCTGTTTGTAATATTGAAATAACCGGTTTTTACTACATGCATATGAATATAAATACGGTACATACACCAAAATAACATTTTTTACCATTTTTCTCTGTCTGTCTATTTCTTTCGGCTAATCTCTGAAATGGCTAGATCGATTTTGACGGGACTTTTTTGGCAGGTAGCTGATGTAATAAGGAGTAACTTAGGCTACTTTTATCTTGAGAAAGATTATTTTATTTTAGAAAAATAAAGTTAAATTCCTAGTGTGTAATATAATTTTAATAATATTGTGCTGTTTGCAGCGTACAAATATTAATTCTGGAATCCAAGCATTAATAAATATATTATAAATTCTAAACATTAGTCTGTCATCACAACTTCTTACTTTAAAAACATTATGGAATATAAAAGAATGTCTATATTTCATTAATTGTAAATATTTTATTTTAATTCTAAGCTATAAAATCGATACTATGGTTGGAATACATCACAATCACATTACCGGTAGTTATTTGTTATAAAAAATGAACCTCCGCATCAGCGACCTCAATTTCCAGCAGCGTCCGTGACAGTGAGTGACTTGTGTTGTGGGTACTAACTAGAGAACACAGCCTCGCAGCCGACACTCGGCTCGGACACCAGGATGCATGTCGCAATTCGCTGTGACGTCACACCACACACAGTCACACAAACGAACCACATGTGCAAATATATTAATTGTTAAGTAGGACGAGATATTTTTCTGTCATTGAATAGAATAGAACAGAAAATAGAAAATCATTTATTCCAATAAACTTAATTTAAGCACTTTTGGACAGTCATTTCAATGTTTTTTTTAATCTAGCGCTCATTCGGAAAGCTGTCTCATCACAAGAAGAACGAGCAACAAACTTGTATTTTGCTCTTTTAAACTATTCTTGTAAGTTCACATTTACATGTCGAAACGTGCGAATACAAACTACCAACCAGCACTAATTTATTAGGGTTAAATATAAGTATACAATAAGATTAAATCAGTCGTAGTGATAAGAGCAGACCAGTCCCTACAAGCAGCATTCGTTCACGAGTATGACGAATGAGCCAGCCATCACTGCGCTCGACTCGATATTTTAGGGAGCCCAATGACCAACAAACGTGAACAGGTATAGAATTGCGATTTGGATTAGTAAGTATCTTAAATCCATATAAAGTAGACATAGATATAGATATATGTAACAATATTGATATCGGTCTGCGGAGGGAAGAAATATAATGTAGGTACTCGTATATAAAAATTCTTTCGGCAGTGATATAGATAACCTCTGTCGCGGATGCCGCGTCATTAAATCATTATTATCCACCAAAAATATGTGGTCATCATCATAAAGTGAATACTTTCAATAATAATATAATAATAATAATAATAATAATAATCTCAGGACAATTCACACAGCGCCATCTAGACCCAACTTAAGCTAGCAGAAGCTTGTGTTATGGGTACTAGATAACCGATACATATATATAGATATTTTTTTTTGTAAATACATACATTATATACATATAAAACACCCAGACCAATACAAACAAACATACTCATGAATACAAATGTTTGTGCCGTGCGAAGAATTGAACCCGCGACCATCGGACGTAAAGCGGTGTGCTAAACCGCTGGACCATCGAAGCCGTCAATAGGTAGGTATTCATTCAATATGTTGAATACTTTATAGCGTATCATAAGTCGAATGAGTCCATTCGATGGTATGGCGACGGTCACTTCGTCGTTGCCACCAAGAATGTGGCGCGTCACTGCGGACGTGACGGTCGTCGCACGTCGTTCACGCAAGGACGTGCGCCGTGCTGCGAGCTTACGTAACACAAGAGAAAGCGCAACCGGACCGTCGAGGTGGCCGCCAGGGAGGCGGTGAGGGGGGGGGGGGGAGGGGGGAGTGTAACCACTCGCTGGCGATGTAGGCACGCGGACATAGCACATACACACAGCAATGTCAGGTGTGTAATGCAGCCGAGAAAGTGGCCGCGCGGCCCACCCTGCCAACAAAAGATATAAACGCGCGCCGCGCGCTGCCTGCGGGCCCGTGGCCGCCACCTGACACACGACAGAATTTTTATCAGACTACTCTAATGCTGTTGGCCGCAGCTGGCCTTTACAGCTTCACCGACGATAGGGGGCGCGTGCAGATGACACTCCAAACCAAAGGAAGTTGGAGTGGCTGAATGCCAACTTTCGTCTGACGGATACGACTTTAGTTTTAGGGTACGGATACCCGTTTGAATTTGACGGGGGATCGATTGCAGGGGACACAGGATAGCGGGAGCAATAAAACATATACAGTTCATCATAAAATTTTATTTAACAGCCAATCGAACGGGCAAGAGCGAACATCTGGTCGACATCTAGACGGAGTACTCGCGGAGCGTGCGCCACTACTTACAGTACTTAGTCACTAATTAATTACACAATTTGTTTCACCGGAGCACACGATGTCGCTTCACGAACACAACAAACGATCAGTAGAGCCTCTCATAGCGACCGACGGACGGTCTCACCGTCCTCGTCCTCGTCCTCGTAGATACGACCACTATCTACCGTTTACACACAATCATACGACACTGTAATCGTAATCGTTAGACGCAAATACAAAAATAATACTGTAGAATAAATACACGTATAACATACGAAGAGTACATTAAAGCTGTATCTTGTGCCTGGGCGGCTACACTGCTCAGCACACGGTCTCCATGGGGATGGCGGGGGGCGCGGCGGGGGCGGCGGCGGCGGGGGCTGCGGGCGCGGCGGTGGTGTGCGTGAGCGACTCCCCGCAGGACGGCAGGTGCGTGGAGGAGTGCGTGGCGCGCGCGGCGGGCCCGCCCCCCCCGCGGCCGCCCCCGCAGCAGCAGCGCGCCGCCGCGCACCGCCGCAGCGCGGCCCACGCGTGCGGCTGGCAGCCCACCACCAGGAATATGAACACGCCCTGCAGCGCGTTCAGCAGGTCCGTCGCGTACCACACGTAGTCGGGCCCGCCGGCCGCCCACGACACCACGTCCGCGCCCCACGTCACGCCCATCACCACCACCAACTTGGCGCACACGCGGCCCAGCGCCGCCCTGCAAACCACGCGTCGGAATCATTCACACGCTCCAAATTATTACACGTACGTAAGTACGTACGGTACGTCAGATAGCACCCGAGTCCGTGGGTATGCAAGAGAAAGTTGGCTTGTAATATGAATTACGTTCTGAACACGGCCATCCCATTCACATGGAGATCGAAATTATGACGAACCAAACCAAAGTTTGAACCCCTAGCGATGCCCTCAGACTGACGTAGTGTGTCTTTAGCCGGTCCATAAGTTCTAGGAGAGAACTTTGCATTCGCCCCTTTTTTCATAAATTGAAGCTGTAAAACCTAGCTAGAGCCAACGGCATCAGAATAGTTGGATCGAAAAAACTGCCATCGTAAGATGAGCAAAGTCGGAACCAATTAAGAGGACAATGTACCTCTCCGAAGTCGATTTGACTTCGTCGCGCCGCCACAGGCCGCACGTGAGCTGTCGCGTAGTGGATATGAACAGGGCCAAATTGACGAGCAGCAGCACGCCCACGGGCCCGAAGAAGTAGACGAGGATCTCCATGTCGCCGTAGAACCAGCAGCGCTGGACGGCGAAGCGCGGGCGCAGGAAGGGCGCGGCGCCGGCCCCGGGCGGCAGCTGGTCGAGCAGCGCGGCCGCGCCCGCCAGCGCCAGGGGCCCGCCCCACGCGTACAGCATGTACACGCGCAGCCGCCACGCCTCCTGCCCGCGCTCCAGGCTCGTCGGCCGGAAGTCCCTGCGACACACCGCCCGTCACTACCGCACCTCACCGCACTTCATCCCACGCCGCGGCGCCGCCACACGAGGCCCACATACTAACACTCCCTCTGTTGGGCGCACACGCTCTAGCCACATGGGAGAATATCGCTAACAGGGGGAAAGTGATTGTTAGTAATACTAGAAATGTACAATGTCAGGTTGACCCCACGCGGTACTCCATGGAAACCATCGTGATAAATTCTTGGTGAATTTGTCACAATGGGCGAGCTGACCTGACCTCATGCTCATCTCATCACCCCCACTGGTGCCCCGCCAAGCTAAACCGTTTGCGCAAGCGGGTGCAGTCCATTAGCATTCATAAAAAATATCGCTAACATTAGCCTGCTATCAAATTCAAAAATCATATATTCATGTAGGACATTTTAGCCGCTTAAGAACGTCAAATTTTTCCATTCTAATTTTAATTTTTTCCCTACCGTCCAGGTCGGTCTATAGATCCAATTGAGAAGAACTGGCAATGAACTCAATTCAATTACTATTATTTTAAAGGCAGTTTATTTACAATGCGTATTAGGTTATCATCACGTCCGACAGGGGGCTTAACAAATATAATATCGGACATTCCTCCTAATGCTTGTGTTTTGCTTTGTATCCTCCGTTTCTATTTTTTGGTTACTGCGTATTAATACAATCACTATATATCATCATCATCATCGCAGCCCAGAAGACGTCCACTGCTGGGCGTAGGCCAGATATATATCATAATACGACCAAATTACAAAGTTATAATCGCCAACCTGAAATCTTCTATTACGTTCTTTTTAAATAGAGCAGGTAGTGATTACATAGCTAATTACAACATAATTCATTTTTAATTGCAATTTACGTTATATTGTCATATTTATATTGTGATTAATTTAATGTTAACTGACTATTCATGTATAAAGACAACTTCTAGCATATAATTTCCTGTGATTGATCGTCATCAAGCACTGCTGTCAATTGATGGGCTAGCTCTTGTAAGTGTAATATTACACGCCTGCTACCTGCTACTACATACAAAGTAATAAAACTGTAGGGGGTTTAAACTACTCCAAAATGTAATGCATGTAACAGGAATCTGATTTCAATAATATTTAAAAATAAGCATTTAGACCTAAACATTATATTTTTAAATTATAAGTTGCACTTTAAATAATACTAGTACAAATAAATTTAAAATGCAATAAAACTATACATTCATTATTAAGTTAATAAACGTTCCTGTGTTTTCACAATGTCAAGTACATACTCGTACCTAAGGTAAGGAACCTAATATAATATTCGGACATAGCATAGGTACTACTGCATACAATGATTGAGTTTCGTAATATCTCATTATTTTCCTAATTTCACATTTCGTTTAAAAGTAGAATTTCACAAATGTCAATCAATAATTTGAATGGGTATTACTGGATCCACTAACTCGACTCGTGCGTCCTTGTGGCAACACAAGGCTGATTCATTAAACCTGTTTTACGGCTGTTTAGTATTCACAAAGAAATGAGTGTACATAGCTATCGCTACAGATACAGAGAGCGCATGCTATCCGTGTCGTTATTTACTTGATTGGCAATACTTTCTACTCAAATAGGCACCTACATACCTCGACAATAGAATTACAACATGGAATGTAATTTGCTTACGCGCTACATTAATATAACAATCGCAAGCAAAACATGATTGAAGTATTAACGATAAGTTATTAATACAAAACAGGTCAGTTCTTGTCAGTTCTTCTCATCTCGGAATCATTCCGAACCGACAGTAGATTTGACATATCATAAGAGTCTGTAATATGTAGGTCACATGAATAATGATATTTTGAATTTGAATTTGAAATTTGGTCAATAATACGTATATGACAGGCCATGCGCCTGGTGAAGAAAAAAATTACAGTGGAGGTCTTACAAGTATTTAGATGCAAATGTACGCGTCATTATGAGGAGGCATGCAAATTACAATTTCTTAATGACGTACAAAATAATAAATATTAAATAATTCAATGTTAAGTAAGTATGTCAATTCACATATTTAGTAACAACATTTTTTACACAAGTGACTCGTGTTATTCTATTTTAAACCTATTTAATGACACCTCTCTAATTGCCAGCGGCATTTTGTTATATATTTGTATGGGAGTTAATTTCAAGTTGGTTATATACGGACGGACGCATTCCTGACTTAGTTTAACCTTTGTGTAAAACTACTATTCTTTATACTAAAGGAACAAAGCATATCACAGCTCCGAAGGGAGCGGCGCTAAAAGTAAAACATTGTACCGGTGAGATGATAGCAGACTAATAGAAATAGTCTTTTTTTTATTGTTCTGCCACTCATTTGGAAAGTAGATTTAGCACAAGAATGCGAGAAACTTGCCCGATCTCTTTAAAACAAATCACATTCAACGATACTTGTTACATTTAAAGTTTTATATGTGCGTAACAATATAATTGTTGATGTCATTAAAACATACATATATTGTTGTCAGTCAATAGTTGATATACAATTCAGTTATATTCCATTACAATTGTCTAGTTTATGTTTAGGGAAACAAAAGATTTAAACGAGATTTACCCGCCTGTGGCTTCTGATTAATGGAATTAGTTTTGGTATTTGATCATTTTGATTCCGATTACATTAAACCTCACTCACCTAAAGGTCCACCAGATGTTGAAACACATCGTGTTGAGCCAGAAGAACGCCGACAGGAACAGGAAGTGCATACACACCGCTGCTCCATACCATGCAAGACAAAACGAGCCAATGTAAGGGACGCACAGAAATACGGAGTTTACGCAAACGGAGCACTTTAGCCGTATTCGCAACTGACATGCTACACTCACCGAGAGCGCGACATAGTGTCGGAGGCACTTTGTCCCCGGCCAGCTGCGTGGCGGCGAGCAGCACGTCACCCAGCATCAGCGCGGCCACGTAGTGTGTCTGGCAGCGCCAGTGCAGCGCGTGGTGCGCCGCCGGCAGCGCGAAGCCAGCGGCCAGGGTCGCCGCCAGGAACGCCGCGCCCACGGCCAGCCCGGCGCCGTACAGCGCGTGCCGCGTCGCCTGCGACGGCCGAGTGGCCCGCGCCGCCGCTTCGCACGCCAGTATTCTCGATTCCTCCTCGTCAGCCACGGCTTCCGCACACCATGCTCCCGCTGCCAGAGTTTCTCCTTGCGCTAGCTGAAGGCCTCCTTCCGTGTCCAGGGTCGCCCCTCGTAGTGCTCCCGCTACCGCATAACGTAAACCTTCCGAGCACGCCGGCCACCCGCTCCCCACCGCGGTGCCGTTAGCCAGGACTCTCAACTCGGCCAGGGTCTCCGCCGCGCGGCGCTCGTCATCGATGCATCTGATTCCATCGAACGTCCTGTTTCCTGGACAACATTTGGACGGCAGATGGGGAGCGTAGTCGAGGCAAACGAGCGCAGCGGTCGCATCGGCGCAGTAGACTTTGGTGGAGAGTGCGAGAGCCGCACTACGCAGCCACAGCGAGCCGTTGTTGGCGAGGAGCGCGTACGGCGCCGCATGCTCGGGCAGCACGCGCACCTTCTCGCAGTCGGGCACGACCCCGTACGCTAGGTGCCAGTGAGCCGGCAGCCGCACCATGAACGATCCTCTCGCCGGTGCATAGATGCGAGGCGTCCAGGGGATCCTTCCGTCGACATTCTGGCACGATTTGATAGCATCTACAGGCGACAGCACTTGTGTTAACAAAACCTCCTGTCCCAATTCTTGGCCGACCGGACAGCAGAAAGGTACGTCCAGTAGTGGTGGTTGCACTCCCCCGGCCGCCGTCCACCACACGCTCACCACGGCCAGAGTTACCGTCCCGAACATCACTCGGCCGGATCGCGCTCACCGACCACAGTCCAACGGTAAACCGCACAGCATCTCGTCAATAGTACAGCATCGTGAACACTTCGCTATTATGAATAATTTTTAATGACCGAATGCCGTTTGTTTAACTTGTTACATTTAATGTCGTGACATAAACCCGCGAGCCGCGGAATAGACATGTTAGCGTGAGACGAGGAACGAATGAACACGTGCGTAAAAGCTCAAATCGTCGGCGACACAAGTTTCCTCCCCGAGAGCAAACACGGCACTGGTTGCTCGGCGGCGAGTGGCGGACGGCGGCGGTGCGCCCCGCCAGCCGCCGCGCCCGGCCCGGCCGCCCCACACCTGACTGCTCCGCCGCCAACACTCACACGCCCGCCGCCATGACAATGCAATCGTTGCATACTGCACGCTGCACGCTGCATGCGACGATACTGCACGGGTACGTGTACACTGTACACACTGCGAGCTCTACTAATATTTATTATTACTAGATATGAGCCGAGACTTTGTCGGTCTGTGACATCAGATAATGTTAAGTGACAGCGTGATCGTGACACATTCACTAATTGGGATGTACCCCATACGATAGATATAACTTTCTCAATATCAAATACCACGACTTTTTAAAGCATGAATAAGTAGTACATATTGTACTACTTGTAACATTGTATTCTGCAAATAAATAAATATATATTAGGTAAAAGTACATATTTAACGGGGCCATTAAAATATAAATTTCTGATTAAAATATAACCGTCTACATTAATAGAAGCTTTATACATCAAATAAAAGATTTATAAAAATCATAGAATATTCTGTTAAATGCAGAGAAAAGCTACAATGAATATATAACAACATATATTTATGTAGAGAACCTGAATACTATGTATACATATATTGTAGATTATAGCGTTGATACACGTACAAGTTACTTATGTATTATTGTTCAGTTTCAGATACAGACGATACAGTGCATAAAATTTTATTATATTATATGAAAGGAGCAGACACCGCGCCGACCCTAATAACAGTTAAAGCAATGATGCCTTTTATATATATAATAATATTTAATATCTGTCTGTCCGGCCCCGTGGGAAATATTGATACTCTTTGTTTCTGGATCTCTGTGCGACCCGACCCCTCTGTTCCGTTCTGTGTGTGCGACCAACACAGGAGTGGAACATAACTACAAAATAACTAATAGAATAAATAACTATGATATTATATTTAAAAAATGTATTGATATAATATTATATAAATAACTCTGCTCTAAACTCTTCCAACAACAAATAGAAACGTTGTACAGCAATCGTGTATTGAGCCGTTCTCACAAATCCACATGCCTACTTAGAATAGGTATTGTATTAGCAGGTAATATTTAAAATTACCCATTCTTTATCATTGTACTGATTTGTATGCGAAATTCCATAGCGTATACCTTTCTTCCTCATTCTGAATGAATACACTGTCACAAAGAAAACCTGTTAATTGCAAAACTGATAATTCACACTCTGCCTGAATAGCAAATGTTTAAAAAAAAACTTACGAATACGCATAACAGGTGACAATAATAAAACATAGGCCAGAAGGTTGTTGCCACAAAGTAAGTGACAGATATTACCTAAAATAATAAAAAAAAGTAGCAAATGTTTATTAAACATGGAAGGGACAGATTTTTCGGATAATTAGGTCCCTATCTTTTTATTTCGTTTCATTTTGCGTTTCAAACAACTTTTAGGTCTGTATAATCCTGCCTGATGAAATTACGCTTCGCTCTAATTTATAACAATGAAAATGTTTGCTCCCATCGTGGTATAATAAATATGAATTTCCATTAAAAAAATATAATATAATAACTAAAATATATTATTAAATGGAGTCCCTTTAGGCAAAATTCCGAAGATACTGGCAGTTTTCCCCTTTGAATGGCTAGACTAATTCTTTGTCCGAGGTAGCTGCCAGCTCTTCGGTCTCCTGTGACGTCGACTAAACTTTTTGCTATTTCCCTAAAAAGCCTTATAGCGCGATTTCCATTTGATATAAGTTCTCTATTTACGTGGATAAAGTCTCTGGTTTGATTCCGGTGTGGTTGTTATAAATGAAATAGTTTTGAATATAATAAGATATACCTATTGTATGGAATTTTATAAAATACTACTACGTTTAAGTTTTTGTAGACAAATGGCTTATTTTATATATAATACAAATATTATGAGTATTATACTGTACAGCTGTTAGTGAATTATAATTTGCTTATTTTCAACCCGTGGTGCCATCTAGTATTCTCGTACGTGAACCGTATGTAGAACCTTCAGCGTTTTATTGTAGTTGTAGTTAAGCTTAGCAGTTATCGTTTAGAAATTCGTAGTGAATAACATAGATGGCGCTTACATTATAATTCAAACGTCACAGAATTTAAAATGAATACTTAATTGAAGATTCATATTAAAATTATAGACACTATTATGTTGCAAACTATACAGAATTTTAAAATCATGTAAAATGTAAGAGGTAAATGCGTTCTATCCAAAATGGCACATAAGTCCAGTGTAACAACGTCTATATTTGTTTACTTTTTTACTTCATTTCCTTATTGAACAATATCTTGGATAAATTTCAATGATGACTTATTTGTTACCGTTTTAAAGTGATTATAGCTATGGCTATTGTATAATTATTATACACTACTAAACCTTACGTAAATTGGGGAGGAGGGAAGTTATATGATGCTACGTAGGACTTCTCGATTGTAGAGGCGGTAGTGTTAGTACTTGTGGCGAATCTACTATCATCGTGCGGCAACACCGTTGCCTAGTTACGATGCGACAGCAAAAATAACAAGTTGTGATTCGAGACCGAATCACTTTCTTGTACATACATATATATCCATTGTAAATACTTTTAATTATTATAAATATGTGCATAGCTAATTCGGATTCATCATTCCATCTCCTCCTTTCCTGCTGCTGCCACCATACATTGAACACATTACTAATACACATAATAGCGGCCACATCTTACCCGCTAAATACTAAACAGTATTAAACTGTTTCCTAAATTGCCAGTTTTATTGGTTCTATCGTCCTACCAGACGCATAGAAAGTGTATATTGGGTAACAACGGTGTATATAATTTCATATCAAATTCGTTAATTTGCGAAACTAATTTTGACGCATATTGTTCGTTGGTCACACTTAGTATGGTTCTCTGAATAATATAAATAAATTTCAAGTTTATTAAATTAACGTAAGTTCATTCATAAAATAATATAGTTTAGGGGGGTCCGGCGGGGGGTTGGAACCATACTAAGTGTCTGGCAATGAGCAGCGCAAGTTATAATACTGCTACGAATAATATATGAAAAAATAGAGTTTCTTAAAATAATGAATTTAGTATGAAAATTTTTACACCTTTATTACCTGTTATCTGCCAAAGGAACCACGAGCCAGGTGTGATGTGTGGGGATCGTTCCTACCTGTGTTGGGGACACACATTTACTAATAAGACGTATGTCTGGACACCGTGGGCTGTTGCTCTACTAGGTTACTGTCACCCAGATGTTAAATTAATATATTTCCCATATTTTTTTGAATTAATTTTTGTATAATGTACCAGCATGTCGGGGTGAGGGGGATTGTTAGTAACGTGAGCTTGTGAACTCATCGGTACCAGTGTACCCTCCCTGTCAACCGCCATAAGGTTTCCCCTGGAAACGATCCTTGCAAATTCTTAGTGAAACGACGGTTCCGTTCAGCAATGGGAGTTAAAATTCGGCTTCGCGAGTTCGATGACCGTTTAATTTACTCGAGGACAGGTGCGAATGAAAAGCAGCGATGTAACAGTGATAATTCATTTATTCTGCTACGGGGGCTGCGGCGCGGCGGAGGCGGCGGGCGGGGCGCGGGGCGGGGGGTTGGCCCACGGGTCGTAGCCCAGCACCGACAGCATCGGCGCCAGCTCCGACATGTCGGCGCGGACGTCGCTGGGGATCTGCCCGACCCACTTGTCCAGCGCGTCCAGGTTCACGGGCCGCACCACCTGGTCCGACGACCGCTCCACGCTGCGACACACCACCACCACCACCATCATCATCATCATCATCACCACCACCACCACCGTTGAGACTGCTGAGTCACCACGAGCGGTGATATAATACACACCGAATCAGTACAGATCGGGTGTTCATTATATCGCGGCATTGGGATTGACGTTTTTTAATTTTATTTTCTCATTGCTTTCTTGATTTAATTGATTGATTTTAGAAATATGAAAGCGTAGCGGTTTTTGTATTAATTGCCGCATGCATTCTCATGTAAAATGTGAATACTATAACTATCAGATGACAATTGTGAGTAGCTTTGACGTAAAATATGGTCGAGCGCAGTGATGGCTGGCTCATCCGTCATACTCGTGAACGGGTGCTGCTTGTAGGGACTGGTCTGCTCTAATCACTATGACTGATTTCCTATTATTAATTGTTTAACCAGTTGGTTATGTATTCAATTTTTTTTTTCTTTTTGAGTATTTAATTGAATTAGTGCTAATTGGTGGTTTGTATTCACACACTTAAACTTAAAAATGTAAAGTAATAATAAAATTATTTAAAAGAGCAACACGCAAGTTTCTTGCTCGTTCTTCTTGTGATGAGACAGCTTTCCGAACGAGCGGTAGATTAAAAAAATGTAATGACTATTCAAAAGTGCTTCAATTAAATTTATTTGAATAAATGATTTTCTATTTCTTATTTCTATTTCTATTTAAGCAATATGAGTTTTTTTCTCTTTATTTATTTAGGAGCTTAGAATCACAATAGTGACCGTGTTAGCTCCCTGTTAGCTTCTTAATTAATTACACACTTACATATTTTACATCTATACAAAAAAAACCTTTCTATTCTCCTATCTGGCAGATGTTTTGAGTTTCTGAACTGATGACAGAGTGTACCTACACCCCAACAGGAGGACCTACTCCTCAACATTACTGCTAAATATATAAAAGAGCAACGCACAAGTTACTTGCTCATTCTTCTTGTGATAATTCTACGTTCCGAATGAGTGATAGAATAAATAAATATGAGTATTCAAAAGTGTTTATATTAAGTTTACTTGATTATTTCTATTTCATAATATCGCTTTAAGCGGTTAGGTAGATACCAAGGCGCTTTTTATATACAAAATATATGATTACTATTTGTGCCCGTGGTTTCATCCGCATTAAATTTCAATATATAAAGTTTATACAAAAATATTAATTATATAAATTTTATACTGTAATATTTCATCAAAATCCGTTCAGTAGTTTTTGCGTGACAGAGTAACAAACATCCGTCCATACTCACAAACTTTCTCGTTTATAATATTATTAATAAGATTATGATGTTTAGTCACCAATTATTTACTTTTATTTATATATTTAAACTTTAATGCACAAATAGAATAATAAATGTATATATGTCGAACTAATATTGACTTTCAAGAGTCGCGTGCCGAGACTTTTTTAAATTTGGTAAATGACCAAAATTAATCAAGTTATAAGAATGAGGCCCTGCTAAACTAGACACTAGAGTACTAGACACATTCCTGTATGTCTGTCTGTGTGTGTGTGTGTGTGTGTGTGTACGTACTTGGAGAGGGCGACCCCGTTGGGCTGGTTGATGTACCGCTCGTGGTGCAGCACGGCGTCGTCCCAGGGCAGCTCCAGGAACGACAGCACGCGCCGCAGCGTCACCTCCGGCGCCTGCACCAGCGACTCGTACCGCACCATCAGGCACTTGGAGGGGCCCATCGTTTTGCACTGCTGGTACATCAGCTCCACGGCGTGATTCCACTTAGTCAAACACTGACGGTAGCTGGTCAAGTCGAATCCCGTAATAGTCACCTACGCACCACACCATTACACTATCATTAGTACAAAACATTATCACGAACATGTGCTGGTTGTTCGTTTTATGGTTATTTCATGGATACACAGGGCGTAGTAATAACCTGCATGCACTAGCTATGTACAGTGTACAGTACACACACCCACATGTATTATATAATACATTGAGACAATGACTTTTTATCACCGTCTAACACTGACCACAAGACTGTCAAACGGACCGATAAATAGACAGACAAACAGTTTTGATATCGTATTATGAATGTACAAAATGTGTGGAATAGGTTTTTCCGTATATCCTGGACATTATAGATATCAACTGGCGTTGTCAGACGTCCCACATTTTAAGCTTAGTTTAAGATGTCCCGATGGGACTGACTCTGTCCCGTATTCGAATCGTGCTCCGTTTTTTATTATTAAATTTAATTTAAAGATAATTTGTCCCGGTTAACTAAAATCCCGTATTTTTTTGTCTATTTAAGAGTTTGGCCCTTATAGACTGAAAAAAAAATCTAGCAACTCTAATGCCAACTGATGTTGACTCCGCACTACCTCAACAAGTATAATATGATATGATTGCAGCAGACACGCACTAGGAATACACACGTGAGTGCAGCTGTTGTTACATGTTACTGTATTGACCATCCATGAGATGCGCTATAGAAATATATTGTTAAGAGTTAACCCGTTTACATAGATAAAACTGACCTTCCTGGTTATGATCGAGTGCACGGTGGCGCGGCCGTCGCGCACCATGAACAAGAACTTGGCATTGGGGAAGAGTTCGAGGACGTAGGTGCCCATCTTGAGCACCAGCGGGTCCTTGTTGCAGAGGCGCGGCGCGGGCTCGCCGTGGCGCACGATCACCTCGAGGCAGAAGGCGGCGATGGCGTTGTCCAGCACCGCCTTGGAGACGCCGGCCTGCTCGAGGCGCACGCTCTCCTTCTGCGAGCGCGTCCAGTGCTGCCGCATCTGCAGGATGCGCGGCACCACGCGCGTCTCCTGGCCGCAGCGCACGTCGGGGTGCGCGTCCAGCATCGCGCGCATCAGAGTCGTGCCCGAGCGCGGCACGCCGCCGATGAAGATCAGCGGCAGCTCCCGGCCGGCCACCGCGCCCCCGCCCGCCCCCGCGCCCGCCCCCGGCCCCGCGCCCGCCCCCCGGCCGCGCCACGCCCACGTCACCAGCACCACCGCCGCCAGCGCCGCCGCCGCGCGCCACCGCGCCCGCGCCATGCGCCTGCACACCGCACACACTTACCCACCGCACACACACACACACTCGGCACGCGCACACACACACCGACCGCACACACGCACACACTCGGCACGCGCACACACTCACCGACCGCACACACGCACACACTCGGCACGCGCACACACTCACCGACCGCACACACGCACACACTCGGCACGCGCACACACTCACCGACCGCACACACGCACACACTCGGCACGCGCACACACACACCGACCGCACACACGCACACACTCGGCACGCGCACACACTCACCGACCGCACACACGCACACACTCGGCACGCGCACACACGCACCGACCGCACCCACGCACACACTCGGCACGCGCACACACACACCGACCGCACACACGCACACACTCGGCACGCGCACACACACACCGACCGCTCACCCGCACACTCGGCACGCGCACACACACACCGACCGCACACACGCACACACTCGGCACGCGCACACACACACCGACCGCACACACGCACACACTCGGCACGCGCACACACTCACCGACCGCACACACGCACACACTCGGCACGCGCACACACACACCGACCGCACACACGCAGCGCCCGCCACGGACCCGCGGTCCGGGGGACGCTTGTTCCACAACGACCAAAAGAAACTACAGCGATACAAATAATTTCCAAGCTAAATTATTTCTAGTAGAAATATTAGGAACTAGAAATAATAGTAAATGTTATGACAACAACTGACATTGGTATGAAATTTAAGACAAAGTGGGTCCTTGAACTTTCCATGGCATCTATTTCTGACTCAGAATATTTCTTATTTAAAAACCATGGAATTGACAGTCAATATAAATTATAAAGTGAGTACTCTTGTCTGTTTATTATCAAGGAATAGAAATGGTTCTTGATGGCTGCACAGTGCATAAAGTTATCAAAGTATGGGGAGAACTGAACTTGTAATTCAATGCAGTATTATAACACTTATTATTTTATAACAAATGTGACGAATTCATTTCAGTAAAAACATTCAATTATTCGATAAAAATTCGATAAAAAATCACTATTTTTATTTGATATTTTGGATAAAAACCATTATTGATGATTTTTTAATTCCCTCGAGTGGTGGCAGTTAGTTGATCACCTGACTGTTAAGACCCAAAAGACCCAAGAGTCCACTCAAGAGCATTATTTTCTGCTAGTACTCCACAGACACATCAACTCTAGATAGTTGTTGTGGAAAAATGGCACTGCTATCTCCACAGCAGAACTCAGTGGAGCCCTTACCATCTTTCTTCTAAGAGCACCAACAATTTATACCATTAAATAAACATATATTCATAAAAACTCATAACATTATAAATGTAATTATAGAATCACCCATAATGTTTATGTTTTATGTACAGATAGCAATTAATGGTATTTTTATTATGTTTAGAGAGATGTATATAATATAGTTTGATTAAATTGTTCTGTTTGTAGATTTTATAAAATAGATAAAAACCAGCACTGCAGTGAACATACAGCCGAGTGTAATGTATAGTGAATATGAGAGAAAAGCATTTTGTAAAATAGACAAGCAATGGGTAAAATACTTTTGATGTTATTGATATATAAATTATATATTAAATATATAAATTGTCCCAAATATGTTTACCCTTTTGATTTTTTTAAAATACAATAAGTATCAGATAACAACAATGTAATACTAACACATTATGAGCGAGACAAGTGTTTCTACCCGTTCCGAGTACTGCAACTCAAAAAGTACTAGAACTCATTCAGCACATTGCAGTTAATGGTTAAGGTATTAGTACCTGTTTAAAATAAGTCATTTTAAGTGATGCAAGGGAAAAAATATATAATATATATATTTATTAATACAGGCACAATTACCTGCCCCACTCATAATGTGCCAATAACAAATGGTAAACTTGTTAGGATATAGTTATGTATGACACAGATGAGTTGACTTACAATTTACCTCATACTGTACAATTAAATATAATAAAATATTGCTAATGATGAATTAATAGAACAATGCTAATGGGGACAATGGAGTCAATGACGTCACCACACTGATAACAAGTATACCCTACTGATGACATTAAGAAGTTACAACCCGTATTATTAATGGACTTACAACAGTTCTAGCACTTCTTGTTACGACCAAAACAGACCCTGTAACAATTATATGTAAAAATCACTAACACACTGGGAGTCGGCTGACAGTTCCAAGCTCGTCAGTATCCACACCCTCCTCCACCCCCCCTCACTACTAACTACGACCATGGCTCCCACCACATTTGTGGCCAGCCCTCTGTACACTCATTCAAATTGTAACACAATAGCTATATAGCTGTATAATTAATAGGTAGATGGGAAGTAACCTAAACATTTATTACATTTTCAGTTGTTTGCTAGATTATTCAGAAAATACTTTGGTAAAGTTTTCAATTCATGTATGTTTTGATTATAATAATAAATTTCGATTATGATTTGAACGCACATAACAAAATCAATAAAAATTTACAATCGTAACTGTAATCGTCCAAGTGGTAATTTAGGTTAACACTTTTTGTTTGCACTCTCTAATACATACCTACATTAAATCAACTCTATGCAAAGTAATAACTGCTCCCTTTGTGCCAACACATCTCTTTTAATCACTACACTTGACTCACACCACTAGATGTACCGAAATCGAATTGAATTATTTATAAATTGACTAGCAAAATATTGTGCACTTGCGGTAAAATTGTTACAAATGTAAATTTTATATCACTACAGAAATAGTAACATTACAAACCGAGACAACTTCAAGGATATCTGTTATAAAATATATGTTAGATATTTTTTAATGCGTCAATAATACAATAAATATAGAAATAATTGATGAGTATATTGAGAATTGCTTGGTTTAATTGTGTGTTTCGGTGTATATTAAAGTAAAACACAACAATTTCGTTCTGTTGAACAGTGAGTTGTCACCACAGCACAGATCAGACATATTTATATGTCACTATCAGTTTGAGTTGGATGTAAGCAGTATATACAACACATAAACAGACTACCTTGAGAGCTAGGGATTCTTTATATTCGTCAATGTTTAAAAAAAGAAACCTGAAAAACATTGTTGTTTTGAACTAGACATTAGTGGAAAAATATTAAAATTTTAACACAAGGAAACTCAAATAATGGTTATTCCATTTGCCATTTCTTTTACAGCTCCAATAAATAATAAATAACCTAAAATATATATAGGTATATGTCTCATTCATTATTATTGTACATGGATAACACTATCGATGTTTTTAAGACCATTCATACTCGTTAACATAACATTGTAATGTACACATAACATTGTTAACGAGTATGAATGGGCTTAAAAACATCGATACCTGAGTGACTGAGGTACATTCGGTATTTATTTTCTAGGATCCAACAACCCTTTATATGTGAGGAAGGTTATTTTTACCAATGCGACAAGTGGCCACCTTGAAATGGCAATTTCCATTGTTATAATCATACAATTAAATTATTTATATATAATGGGTTACGATTTAATTATACAATTATTTATAGGCGAATGCAGCCTGCAACATAATAATAAAAGTTACAAGTTACAAACAATATAAAAGTTATATAAAAAAAATCTTAAAATAACTAATTTTATTATTATTATGGTTCAAAAGAAATCGTTACTATGAAACTGTAGGTCTACCACGAAGTGCAATTCCGAAATTTCGGATCGATATTTCGTGTGATTCGTACCATGAAAAACGTTCATTCCGAAATCGTGCCCGAAAACGGAGAATATCGTTTCGATCGTCCCAAATCGTACCATGAAGTATCCGTTCGTACGTGATTATGACGTTTTGACAGCACGTTTATCGTGATTTAAAGTGCGAAGTAGACGAAACCTAAATAGTTAACTTTTTACTTTCGTAAGTATGGATTTTACGTATATAAGTGCTGTAATATATAAAAAAGTGATTAATTAATAATTCAGTTAATGTGTTACAGTGAATAATGTGATAAAAGTTAAACTAATTAGTGTTTTTAAATATTATTGTGTTCAATGTAACCTACAACTTAGCATTACTTTATTTTGATTTAGTTTCATTATGCCAAGATTGGCTGGAATTTTAGAAGCCCTCAATGAAGAAGAAATTGAAAGACGCAGGTTTAAAAGAAAAATGCGTACTAGGTACCTCCAAAGATCCATTCCCGACTTCGAGTTTGTATCTAAATACAGACTCAGTCGGGAAGTCTTCGAGAATCTTTGTCAGTATGTGGTACGATTATTACCCCTGCCTAAAAATAGTCGAGCAATCGATCCAATAACCAAAGTAAGAACTTATGTACATTTTGTAGATGAAAAAATTTAGTATTTACCTATTATTTAGTATTCCCATATCTATTTTTTTTCAGATTCTCACTGCATTAAATTTTTATGCCAGTGGTAGCTACCAGGGTGCAGTCGGACAAAATTTAGACACCACTATGGCTCAGCAGTCTGTCTCAAACTGCATCAGGGATGTAACAGATGCCCTAAATACTAAGGAAATTTATAAGATTTCCTCAATCCAGGGAAGACAGGAACATATTGAAGAGAAAGTAAGTTTATGTATATTAAATATGATTAAGATTTAACTTTATAGAATTTTATGCTCTTTGTCGATTTATAATACATATACTATTAATTTAGTTCAGTCAACTATTTGTAGCTGTAAATTTATAAATGATATTGTTGTTAATTTCAGGAATCAGCATAAGTTAATTGATGTTTAAATAATCAGTAGTTTATATTTCTTTTTCAGTTTTGCTACACAGTATGGTATCCCTGGTGTTATAGGATGTATCGACAGCACCCATGTAGCTATAATTCGGCCAACAGTCAATGAAGAGAGATTTTTCAATAGAAAACATTACCACTCTTTAAATGTTCAAGTTGTAAGTACAGTATTTTATGTAAAATTTGCATAGTGTATAAATAATTCTCAAGTTATTCATATTTGTCACTATCTGCAAATATCTTTATAATGTTTGTCCTATTTTTTAGATTGCTGACAGTAATTTAAAAATTATGAATATTGACGCCTCTTATGGTGGTGCCACTCATGATGCATTCATTTGGGAGCATAACGAGATCAAAGATCATTTGGAGAGTCTTCAAGGAGAAACAACTTATTTGCTGGGTAAATAAATCGTAATTGTTAACTTTGTAGTTGTACTACATATAAAATTGGTGAACAAACAAGAATACAATGTTTTGTCATTCCTTTTCATTATTAGGATGTCATAAAAGATGATTATAGATTGTATTTCAGTATTTTTTATGTTAAATATTATTAGCTGATATTATATTGAATAGTCTATAAGCTATCAAGTGCATTTATCAAATTCCAAGTCTCACAGTTAAGTATGTTTTCTTTTCTTTCAGGTATATAAAGATTAGAAGAGAGCCATACATTCTATTTATGGTATGGGTTCGAGATAGTCATTACATCAAGGCTTTAAAGAATCAAATATCCTCACCGTTGCCTCACAGTACATTTATGAAATATTATGTATACAAGGAAAAACTTAGATAGTTTCAAGAAACTTAAAGACTGTACAAGTAGAAACTTATGCAATAAAAATATACTAATTTTACCTAAATGCTGTTAAAATTGATATTAAACAAATGTTATGTAAAAAAGCCTATTATAGGATAGATGAATTCATAGATGACAGCAATATAATAAGTTTATTTGAATAAATGATTTTCTATTCTATTCTATTAGAAGTTAAGGCATTACTTATTTACAAAATTAAAAACTTTTTACAATAAAATATTTTTATTTTATAATCACATATATGTAGGTATATATATATATATAGATAAAAATAAAATCAAAATTGTATATTAAACATTTTTTAAAATAACACTAATTATAAATGATTAAACATTCATTCAGAAAAATGTTGTATAAGTATATGCAAACTAAGTAGTGTAGTTCAAGGCGCATTAAATTAATGACCAGTAAAAAACTGTAGTTTAGTACTTTGTGTCTTTGTTAATACTTATATAAAGCTAAGTAACATTTTTATACTGATTATTTAACAAATCAACAAACTAACAGAATTCAACAAATCAACAATGATATATCTAAAGCTAACTAACTTTTTTATACTCATTATTTAACAAATCAACAAACTAACGTAATTCAACAAATCAACAATGATATATCTAAAGCTAAGTAACTTTTTTTATACTCATTATTTAACAAATCAACAAACTAACACAAATCTACATTAATCATGTCAAATTTAAAAAAAAAACAAAATTTCATCTATTCAGTCGTCTTAATTCTATTTGTAGACCATCCAATCGATCCCTTATTAATACATTTAATTCCTGGAGTGATTGGCGAATCAGCCCTGACTCTACCACCCGTCGATCCTCCGCTGCGATTCGCCGCTCCTCCATTTCGAACAAACGCCTGCGTACACTGCGAGGTCCAATGGCGTCTGCTCGACGGCGTCGTCGCTCTGGACGTGTAGTAGCCGTTGAAGTTCTAAAAAAGTTTTTTTTAAAATAATTATTATCATTATTGTTTTCGGTATGCATGATTGGTACTAATACCAGACTTGATGTCTAGGAATATACTAGTGATTAGGACTATAAGCCCCCATTACTAATAATCTTAATATTTACAGAAATATTTTCATATAACAATAATTTATTATGATATAAATTTTTTAATCAATAATAAGGTATAAGTAAGTGTTATTTATTAGTACTGTCTTATCTTTACTTCTTAGTTAACATTGAAAAACTGTATATATAAAAAGGTACCAACTCTGTCTCAACTCATATTTCTGCTATGAAGCAGCTGTTCTTGCATAGCTGTATTTCAGTCTGAAAGGTGGGAAAAAGCTATTTAGGTACCTTATATACAGAAATAAAAGGAATGGTAATGCATGAGGAATACTATGGAAGTCACCATGTATTTTGATGACATCCATTATGTTATATATGTCTAGAGATAACAGTTAGTACTATTTTAGTAATGGTTTTACAACATACCTCTGGAAATGCAGGAACATGTGCATCCGACTGAGGTTCTCCAAAGGCCTCTCCCATAATACCCAATATTCTGCACTGTATTGGGTTTAAAGGATCAGCAGATGATGGCCCTACCCCAGTGGCTGTGGCAGACCTTCGAGCAGCAGTAGCAGCTTTTTTAGTTAGATATTTTTTGTCAGCCCATACCTAAAATTTATAAAATTTATAAATTATCAGTATTGGAAAATTTTATTTAATAACAAAATTATTTAACATTTTAAATGCATATCACGTACTAAAATATCAAGAAAAGTGCTTACCTTCTGCCACTGCTTTACAGTTTTAGTGCATCCACCCAATGCATTGAGTTCGTCTGTGAGACGAACCCATAATTGGGTTGATCTTGTTCGCCCTTCTGCATTTCTACAGTGGCCACGAGCTAACTCCTGGTGCTCTGCTAGGAATGTTAGGAGTGTATGCACTTGTTCCACAGTGGGATTACTCATCTAAATGCATAAATACATTTGTTAGCGCTTGTCATAAATAGAAACTAATAAATAAAATCAAAGTTATTACATGTTCATTTTCATTGATGTTTAACGAACAAATTTAGCAATAAAAATCATTTAAAAACACTTGTGATGATAATTCTTAAGTTTATATATAAAAAAAATAAAAACAAAAATATTTGTAATACGCAGTAACGTTATTTTCAAATATAAATAGAGGTTTGACGTTTCCTTATGACATAAAATACTACTAATTTTATATTTTTATAATTTAAATAAATTTAAATATAAACGACTGTACATTTTATTTTATCCGGAGTATACCACTTTATTTTTTTCCTAATTTAAGAGTGTATAATAAAAGACCTCTCATCTTTCATTCGTTCACGATCATAGTCTATGGTACCCGTCCGAAATATCTTATTCCGAAGAAACTTCATGGTTCCTTTAAACTAGTATTTCGGTCGTCTTTCGTTTCGTTACGCGATAATCGGCAGTAACTTTCGTGGTAGACCTACTGTTATATTAAAGAAATAAAAAAGATCGGAAAATGAAGTTACTTGCCATAATATTAAAAATCGAATTTCCCCTTTTTTAATTTACATAACTGGCAACACCTCTAATTCACGACATTTGACAAAAGGCTACTAAGTTTGATGTTCGTTTTCATTATTTATCTTAAATAATAGTAACATTTCAAAAATATTGCAATAAAGTGATAGTGCAATTAATTGTATTTTTTAAGTATACTTCGTTAAAGCATGATGTGTAATAAAAATGCTAATAAATCTTGATTAATTTTGTGATACTTCTCAGCGTCACCGCAAACGATATCGTTAATATTTCAATATGGCCGCTCTATTGTATGTCTTTAATTATTTTGTTTACAGTGGATTCCGACTTTGTAATTCATGGACTATTTGTGACTATCAATCTGACCTCAAGCACTTAAAAAGTTCAAACAGTGATGCGTTTTTCTGCCTATGAATGTAATAGAAATAAATAAGGAAAATAAATTATTATGAAAATTGTGCAGTGCGGTGTAGTGATTGTTTACGATTTGTATATCGGAAAGACCAAATGTATTAATCGCGATGTCACAACATGAGCGATTGTGATGAGTCTGCAGCGTCTCTCTCACACGGCCCAACACTACGACTCATGGTTAGTAAGAACTCGGAGGTAATTGTTTATTTCTTTATGGATTAACTTAGTTAGGACCCTAGCCGGCGATCACCGACAACTCCATCTTATATCAGGTTAATGTACTACAACAAATCTTTACAAAAATTCAGGTAACTCAGATTTTTAACTTAATTGTTAGGATGTTGTCTATAGAATGAGTCCATGAGGAATAACAATAAAACTGGTGACAAATTAATGTATTTTGTCTAGTTCAGGATCTAGTGGTTTACTGTACCCAGTTTATGAAAGTTAACCATAGTGGGATCAAAAACTAGACCATTAGCCAGCTGTGGTACTACATTTTAAACTATCATCCTGGAGTTGAATACTGGATAATAAATTATTAACTTGGACATTATGAAATTAATAAAAATGCTAAATGATTTAAAAAAAATCCTTGTATAATAAAAGTAAAAAAAAAACTATCACTTCAAAATCACTCTTATGTAGTCTATTTTAAGGCATTGTATACTTCAGATACAAATATTATTTACTTTTATGACAATAGAAAAAACTCAATTACTGGAGTTTATTTTTCTGCCACCCACAATCACACACATAACAGGGAATATTCTGGTATAACTTGCCATACCGAGAATATTCAAATGTTACGGGGCGGCAGTAGCAACAAGAGACTATTAATTTCTTCTTTCACTTATATGTATTTTTCACTTTGAGCACTTAAACCGAACTGGTCTGTGCACACAATATGTTTTTATTTATTTATTTATTGCTTCTCACATGGTACATTATAGCTATTATTAATAAAAAATATATAAGACATGTGTACCCCGTAGGGGCACTGCAATTACATTATAACTATGTACAGGTAGGTACATTAGAGTAATTAGTTAAGTTCATAAATAGGCGTTATAATTTTTACAATGTCAATAAATTTATGAATAAATTAAATAATATAATAAATCGAACAATCAAATTATACAGAGTCACATATAATCAAATAAAATTATTATATTATACATTCATGAAATGATCAACTGTTAAGAACTCTGTAATACAGTAATAACATTTGTTTATTAAAATTGATTTTAATTTGCTTTTAATTTTCATTATTGTCATTCTTTTCAATTCGTGAAGGAGATTATTATATATATTTTTAGACATGTGTAACATTGTGTAACATGTGAAACATTGTTATGGCCCATTTGATGGTATGTGGTAGCCTTCGCATGTGAACATGAAGAGTATCTCAGTTATCAACATTGTCATGTGACACCCGCCATACACTTTGTATTGACATAGTGTAGGACTAAGATGTTAATGGACTAAGATTAAGAATTATGTCTTTTATCCTGTAATTTACACATTATGAGGGGGGCCCGTATTTGTACCCGTATTAATAAATACATACCCGTATAAACACAAACACACACAAGGGAAAAATATATATATTTCCCTTGTGTCACTTAAAATTACTTTAAACGGGTACTAATAACTTCCCGCTTTTAAACGGCAATACGTGGCAATCCTCGGATCGGGTACAAGTACCTACCCCGCTCATAATGCGTCAACTACCTTGCTACACTTTGAAAGAGCTTATCAAGCTGCTTGGCAGTTTAAGTAGCTGGGACTGATAACTTTTTTACAGTCCATCTCAGTCAAATCTAGTCTAATATATAAAAAAAACTATAATCGTAGGGTGTGGAACGCGTCGGGATTCCTGCCGGCGGAGGGGCGGGGGGCGGGGCGGGCGCGGGGGGCGGGGGCGGGGGCGGGGCCGCCGTCAATGGCGGCGCGGGCCTGCTGGAGCGCATTGAAGAGCCGCCGCGGAAGAGACCAAAGATATCCAGTGAAGAAGTGCACGCGCTACGCAAACATATACTTGAATGCGAGGCCTTGCGTCAGAGATCCATACGCGAAAGGTGAGTCGAGAGTTCCCGGGGTCTGTTTGTTGCTCGAAGATGCGGAGTAGCTCTCATATGGCCGCTCTCTTGAGAACAATGGTCACAGTCGTAGTTGACTTCAAAATAAATGGAGCAGAAATTATGTAATGCCGATATGTCCTGCATATGAAGGATAAAAAAGTAAAAACAATTAAAGATTGATGAAATAATACCATAATAAATTCTTCTTCTTCCTTCTTTGTCGATACCTCAAGGCTGAGGGTTGTGACCACCAGGAATGCTTATTCCAACCAAATCTCCAGGCATCTCTATCCTGTGCCAAGTGGACCCCCGACGGAACGAACGAATTCTCAAACAGAATCAGTCCAACGTGCAGGTGCCCTGCTCTGCCTCTTATTTTGTCCATGTGACCCACCATTATACATTTTTCCAAAATATCCTGTTTCTGACGGGTCACGTAGCCAAAAAAAAATAGACGCTGGAAGCACACAGTATAGAGCGGGACACTTCAATTTATGTGAAGTCCATATTGCACACTTACATGTACGATTTTACAAAGCAGATCGGCGACCTCCTCGTTTAATTTTATTTAAATAGTGTAGACAACACTACACTCAATAGTGAATCCTTCCAGCAATGGCATTTCTGAACCGGTGCGATATCGTAATTTTCAAGAAAAGTGCTTATTCCTTTTTAAAAGGCCAACAACGTACTTGCGATTCCCCTGGTGTTGCTCATGGGCGGCGGTAATCACTCACTATCAGGTGAGCCGCAAGCTCCTTTGTCTCCTGTTTAAAGGAAGGCGACAAGTTAGGAAATTTAGTTTTTTTTTTTATTTTAGGATAACAGAACACCTGAGCGAGCTGTACTTTCTTCAGGCGGGTGGCAACATGATGGATTACCTAGCGTGGCGCAAGCGGCCGCCCGCGCCGCAGCTGCTCGCCTTCCTGGACGCGCGCCGCCCCGCGCCCGCGCCCCCGCCCGCGCCCCCCGCGCCCCCCGCCCACGCTCCCGCCGCCCCCGACCCCGCCCCCGCCGCCCCCGCCACCGCGCCCGCGCCCCCCTCCGCTGCCGCCGCCGCCGCCGACGAGATGGTGGAGAAGGCCAAGCAGGAGGCGTACGTGGCGTCGCGCGTGGCCGAGCTGACGCGCGCCGGGCTCTGGACCGAGCGCCGCCTGCCGCGGGTCATGGAGCCGCCGCGCCCCAAGACGCACTGGGACTACCTCCTAGAGGAGATGGCCTGGCTCGCTCAGGACTTCGCCCACGAACGGAAGTGGAAGAAGCAGGCTGCGAAGAAGGTGAATCTCGTAGACCGACGGATAGAAACGCTCGTGCTGTTTAGATTGGTAGTTTTTTTTTATGATTCGACGCAAACGGTTTAACAAATATTTCGATGTGTTCAGTGTGCCCGCGCCGTCCAAAAATATTTCCAAGACAAGGCGACGGCGGCCCAGAAGGCGGAGAAAGCTCAGGAGTTGCAGTTGAGGAAGATCGCGGCCTTCGCTGCAAAAGAAATTAGAACGTTTTGGTCCAACGTCGAAAAGGTGAGTGGCGTTTTCTAGTTTCTTTTTTTTTATCACAATTTATTTTTATTTATTTATTTATTAAAGGAAAATCAAGGCTTTAAATCATTATACAAAGGTACTAAGTCTGTGTGTCCTGACAGAATCAATATATATTTTGTACAGTTTAAACTTAGGTAAACAAGGTTTTTCATTATAGAGTATAATCTAGGTGGTAGGGTACCACGAAATGATAATCGAAGAGCGTATAATCGGTACAGCTGGTGGAGTGGAAGCGCGTGCGGCGCGTGGAGCGCGCGCGCAAGGAGGCGCTGGACGAGCAGCTGAGCTACATCGTGGACCGCACCGAGCGCTACTCCCGGCAGCTGGCCGCCAACCTGCGCCGCCCGCAGCCCGACACGCCGCCCTCCGACGACGAGTTCGAGCCGCGCGGCGCCTCCGACGACGACGAGGAGACCATCGCCGCCGCCGAGCGCGAGGCCGGGCTCGACGCCGCCGACCACCGCGCCGAGCTGGACGCGCTGCAGCGGGAGTCTCACCTCGACCTCGGGGACCTGCTGCCGCCCGGCTACCTGCCCGCGCACTCCCCGCCGCCCTCCGACGCCGACCGCTCCTCGCCCGGCTCGCTCGGCGGCGACGCCGACGGGGACGCGGACGGGGACGCCGACGAGGACGCCTCCGACGACAGCGACGACGACGCCGACGACGACGACGGCGCCGCCGACGAGCCCGCGCTGGACGCGCTGGTGGCGGCGGACGCGGGGGGCGAGGCGGGCGGCGAGGCGGGGGGCGCGGGCGGCGAGCGGCGCGTGGAGGCGGCGGCGTCGCTGGCGGCGTCGCTGCAGCCCACGGGCACCACGCTGTCGTCGACGGCCGTGGGCACGCCCGTGCCGCGCCTGCTGCGCCACACGCTGCGCGAGTACCAGCACGTGGGGCTGCACTGGCTGGCCACCATGCACGCGCGCGGCCTCAACGGCATCCTCGCCGACGAGATGGGCCTCGGGAAGACCATCCAGACCATCGCGCTGCTGGCGCACCTGGCGCTCGAGCGGCACGACTGGGGCCCGCACCTGGTGGTGGCGCCCACCTCCGTCGTGCTCAACTGGGAGATGGAGTTCAAGAAGTGGTGCCCCGCCTTCAAGCTGCTCACCTACTACGGCACCATAAAGGAGCGCAAGCTCAAGCGTGTCGGCTGGACTAAAGTGAACTCGTTTCACGTGTGCATAACTTCATACAAACTCGTAGTGCAGGACCATCAAAGTTTTCGTAGGAAACGATGGAAATATCTCATACTCGATGAAGCTCAGAATATCAAAAACTTTAAATCACAAAGGTGGCAGATGTTGTTAAATTTCCAAACAGAGAGGTGAGTGAATTCTCTAATTTATTATATTTTCATTGATACAACTTGAAGTTTATGAATGGAAAGTTTATTAAGTTTATAGTAACTTCTTTTGAACAATCGAAATGGGAAACAAACTGACGGCCCGCCTGATGGTAAGCGGTGACTGTCGACTATATATAAAATATGAACAGACCTACAGACGTCCGTGTCACGTTATCGCGTGACGTCCGCGGTACTGTCGATCTGTTCACTGGTCAATGGCACCTATCGACCAAAAGACACGTAGTGATGCGAGCGTGCGGGTGCGCAGGCGGCTGCTGCTGACGGGCACGCCGCTGCAGAACAGCCTGCTGGAGCTGTGGTCGCTGATGCACTTCCTGATGCCGGACGTGTTCGCGTCGCACTCGGAGTTCCGCGAGTGGTTCGGGTCGGTGGCGGACATGGCGGAGGGCGCGCGCCACAACGAGGCGCTGGTGCGGCGCCTGCACGAGGTGCTGCGGCCCTTCCTGCTGCGGCGGCTCAAGGCGCACGTCGAGCGCCAGATGCCGCGCAAGTACGACCACGTGCTGCTCTGCAGGCTCGCGCGCCGCCAGCGCTGCCTCTACGACGACTTCATGGCGCGCGCCAAGTACGTACGCACATACATTCATGTAGTATAGCTAAACGGAGGCTAACTATATACGATTTGAATCAATAGAAGACCACACTAAACTACTAACAGTCTATCACAAATAACAACAGATTAATTTAGTTCAATTCGACAACACCCTAGACTAAAATCCTTCGAGACAAATTAAAGACGTTATCTCCACATAAGGCAGAAGAATACTCGTCTTCGAAAGTAACAGATACAGATGTATATAAAAGGAGGACCACATTACAGGATGTGGTAACTCAAAACGACAGATAACGAATGTTATAAAATCTGATAAAAGCTAATTGGCTAATCGCAGATAGATAAGAAAAAAATAAAAAAAAATTCGACACCACTAAAATTAGTATAAGAACAAGTAACGAATAATGAATTTATACAAACTGTATAAATCATTATTCGTTAGTTGGAGTTCAATAATAGATTATATGCTCCTTAAGCTGCAGAAATTGGTGTATTTTTGCAAAACTTAAAGTATATTATACGGATTTCGTAATTTGTAGGTCGTTTTAAATATCTTCGAAACGTAGCACGTAGGTTTACCTAGGGTTTCAACTGTATACAAAACGTGTAGTATCATATTTTTAAGGTTTTTGCTCGCCGAAAAAGACACCAGTCGAGCAGTAAAAAACCGAGTGCTTCGTGTAGCTTTCGTGACAATATTTATTATAAGGTCGCGGGTGTCGTTCCGTCGACAGGACCAAGGAGAGCCTCGCGTCCGGCAACCTGCTGAGCGTGATCAACGTGCTGATGCAGCTGCGCAAGGTGTGCAACCACCCGGACCTGTTCGAGCCGCGGCCGGTGTCGTCGCCGCTGCAGCTGGCGCCGCTCGCGTACCGCGTGCCCGCGCTGGCGCTGCTCGCGGGCGTGGCCGGCCGCGCGCGCCGCGCCGCGCGCCTCGGCGGCGACCTCGCCTCGCTCGAGGCCTCCGCCGCCGGCGCCTTCGCCGCGCACCGCGCCCGCCACCTGCGGCCCCCGCGCCGCCTCCTCGAGGACGCCGCCGCCCGCGCCGCCGCCGCGCCGCGCCCCCCGCCCGCCGCGCTGCGCCTGCACCTGCGGCTCGTGCCGCGCGCCGCGCCGCCGCCCGCCGCGCCCGCCGCGCCCGCGCCCCGCGCCGCGCCCCGCGCCCGCCGCGCCCGCGCCCGCGCCCGCCGCCGCCCCGCCCGCGCCCCCGCCGCCGCCCGCCTCGCAGGCCGCGCGCCGGCTGGCGGCGCGGCGCCGCGCGGCCCTGCGCCGGCTGGCGGCCGTCAACGAGCGGCGCTGCTGGCGCCTGCCGCTGTACGGCGCCGACCTGCGCGCCGCCGTGCGGGCGCCCACCGAGCCCGTGCCGCCGCCCGACCTGGCGACGCTGCTCGCGCGCCTCCACGACACCATCGACAGGTGAGCGCCGCACTACGGCCGTATCGTATCCTAACAGACGAGACAGACGACCTGATGCATGATATATCTTACTAATATTTTCTTTGGAACTAATACTTATCGCGAATTATTTTTCTTTATTACATTTTATTCATTTGTCCATCAATAAATAAAAAATCTCGCATTTATGCTAGCAAAGAACTACTTGTTACCGTTACGTCAGTCTTCTTAGTCCTCTTTTTGCATCATGTGTGAACATATTTACCAATTGAGCCACAACATTGAGCCATGCTTAACAAAGCCATCTGTGAATTTCTTTCAATGTTAGTCTATAACTCTTTAGACCTAACACCAAAGTTTTCAATAAAAATGGAATAACGGAAACAGAATATACCAGGACAAAGTGGATTTATTTGCAGACCATTTAACAAGCATTTTTAAATGGAATGAAGTACCAGACAACGCTTTAGAAAAATATATTGTCCCAGTTCTGAAACACAAGACCTTTTTTTAAACTTACTAAAGCACTCTGTCGGGCATGAGGCGTGTCGTGTAAACGCCGCTACTTATAGTCGCGCGACGGTGTTAGTGAATGTGGTGCGTGTGTGTATGTGCGTGGGTGTTGTCGCAGGTTCAGCGTGTGCTGGCGGGCGGCGCGCGCGGCGGGCCCGCGGCTGGAGGCGGGCGCGGGGCGCGGGGCGCGGGCCTGGCGCCGCGCCGCCGCCGCCGCCGACTGCGGCGCCGCCGCCCGCGCCGCCGGGGACCTGCTCGCGCTGCTGCACGCGCCCGCAGAGCGGCAGGCCGTCGCCTTCCCGCACCCGCGCCTCCTGCAGTACGACTGCGGTCGGTGACGCTTCGACGCTATAGCTTTTATTTTCATTTCGGTCGTTCTTTGCCCGTGACCGTGACCTTTGACCCCCTTTCGGCGACAGGCAAGCTGCAGACTCTGGACGGGCTGCTGCGGCGGTTGCGCGCAGGCGGGCACCGCGTGCTGATCTTCACGCAGATGACGCGCGTGCTGGACGTGCTGGAGGCGTTCCTGTCGATGCACGGGCACACGTACCTGCGGCTGGACGGCAGCACGCGCGTGGACCTGCGCCAGCCGCTCGTGGACCGGTTCAACTCGGACGCGCGCATCTTCGCGTTCATCCTGTCGACGCGCAGCGGCGGCGTCGGCCTCAACCTCACCGGCGCCGACTCGGTGGTGTTCTACGACTCGGACTGGAACCCCACCATGGACGCGCAGGCGCAGGACCGCTGCCACCGCATCGGGCAGACGCGCGACGTGCACGTGTACCGGCTCGTCACCGCCGCCACCGTCGAGGAGAACATCCTGCGCAAGGCCGACCAGAAGCGCGCGCTCGGACACCTCGCCATCGAGGGCGGCCACTTCACCACCTCCTACCTGCGAGCGGTGAGTCCGCGCCCACACTCATACACCTGCACCATCGTTTATTATTAATAGCTCCAATGAGATTCTTAACTATTATTAATAAGATTATTATATTATTAAGAAGGAAAAAAATCATTTGTGAACTCAGGTATAGCTGTAAAAGAGAATGTATCGCTGCATACAATGTGAATCTCGAACTTCTTTGTCAAATAATATATTAATTAATTTTATGTCTATTTGGATAGTTATTAAAGCGTAATTTAAGTTGATAATATAATTTTATGTGTAGTAGCTCTATTTCAAACAAAAAATACTGAATTGTAAAAAATTATCGTCCTTGCAGTCTAATATCAAGGAACTATTTGACGCGGACGCGGAGGCGGAGAGCGGCGGCGGCGGCGGCGGCGGCGGCGGCGGCGGCGGCGGCGGCGGCGGCGGCGGCGGCGGCGGCGGCGGCGGCGGCGGCGGCGGCGGCGGCGGCGGCGGCGGCGGCGGCGGCGGCGGCGGCGGCGGCGGCGGCGGCACGGCGGCCGGCGACAACGAAACAGACGCGGCCGACGGCGGCGAGCTGGAGACCGCGCTGGCCGCCGCCGAGGACGAGGCGGACGCGGCCGCCGCCGCCGCCGCCCGCACCGAGGCGCAGGGGGACCTCGCGGAGTTCGACGAGACGCTGCCCCTCGACGACGAGCCCGCCCCCGCCCCCACCCCCGCCGACGCCGCCGCGGACAAGGACGCCGGCGACCTCGCCGCGCTCATGAAGCAGGTGCGCGCAGCCCCCGTTCCCTCTCCCGCCCTACGCCGCCCGTCGACGTCCCGCACTCACCGCCGCCCCCTCGGTCCGCAGCTCACGCCGATAGAGAAGTACGCGATGCGGCTGGTGGAGAGCAGCGACGCGGCCGGCGAGGCGGAGCGCGCCGCGCTCGGAGAGATGCGGCGGCAGCTGCGCGAGTGGGAGGACGCGCGGCGACAGCTGCGAGACGAGCGGCCAGCGGAGCCCGAGCTGACGTACGCGCGGGACGAGGCGCGCGGCAAGGTGCGTGGCCGCCGACGGGCGCCGCCGCCGCCGCCCGCGCCCCCGCCCCCGCCCCCGCCCCCGTCGCCGCCCCCGCCCCCGTCGCCGCCGCCGTCGCCGCCGCCGCGCACGCGCTCCCGCGGCGGGGTGCACATCGACCTGTGGACGCTGGACGCGGGCGCGGCGCGGCGGCGCGCGCTGCGCAACGGCACGCTGGACGGGTGGCTCGCGGCCGGCGCGCGGGCCCGCCCCCGGCCCCGGCCCCGGCCCCGGCCCCGCCCCAGCCCTGGGGACCTCAATAAATGATTCGATGCTACATCTGCGTTTTTATATTCCTGACGTTCGACGGAGCCGCTCGTTCTCGTCCGTAAATGCTTGACTCTCACCGTCTGTGGGCCTCGAGCCCCCGCGAGCCTCCCGCGAGCCGTCGGCCCGAACGTCAGGGATGTAAGATCGGCAAGCATTTACGGGCGGGGCCGAGCGCCGATACCCTCCTCCTCCCCTCCCCCCCCCCCCCTCCCGCTCCACCCCCGCTCCCCTCCCACCACCCCGCCGCGTGTACGAGCGGTCCGCACCGGCGAAGCGACCGAGACGTTATGACGATATTATGATACACGTTAGCTCACCTGAGACATGATCCTGAACCTTTTAACATACTATTGATATCAACACACTATTAGTAAAAAATAAATAGTAAATGTTGCTTGAGAGAACTCTAAAGAACAATAACGAGAACTTTACTGAGTTTGTAATTATGAAAACTGTAACTGCAATGCAGATACTTTAATGAGTTTACGAAACTTTTAAACAATCCTCACACTGATCACAAACTAATATCTAGTTTGCATTTTATGAAACATCAATCAAATGGCGCCATTATCAATGACTGCACGCGTGGCGTAATAACAATAATAATAGTAGCCTCTTGTATTATAGAAACTGATTATAAATGGCACATCTAGTTAGTGTATTCAGAAACAGTAGTTAGTATCGGTTGGTACGTAAAGAACGCGTCCTATTGCCCGTACACGCAGACATACCATCCAACAGTAACAACTAATATTTGAAGGCCACTGTTGAACTCAGCGTCGCAGTTGGTCGCCGAACAGTCAACACTATGCTTCCAAACTACATATATCCGAACTCTTCAATTGTCTCGTTCAAAGGCGAAACACATTACAACAGTTAGTAGAAATTGATCAACAATAGAGAAGGTAGTCGCTAGGTACGCTAGCTGTAGCGGTGGTCAGGTTGCACTGAATATATGTGATCTTAGGTAACGAGGTTAGAAAGTTTCAATAAACGAAGTGAGTGTTACTAGTTATTGTTACACTACACCACCCACAAAGAAATCTTGTCTGGTTTCGTAGCTCCTATTTGAAGAGTCATCCACTTGTCCGGGAACGGTCGTCTACGAAAAAGTTTGAGAGTCACAAATTAAGCTACACGTATCTGCGACTCTGGTCTAAACGTGGCCGGTCATAGAGACGTCAGTGGTCACGACTGTTATCAAAGGTGGTGGTATCGTCATTTGTACGTGTGGTGTACGCGACTCTGGACGTGACGAACTCTCACGTTCACAGGGTACAACTGAAACCAACATAGCGGGGGAGATTTTCCCTTTGTCTCTGATTAATTTTTGATATTCAAATTTGAACGCATACGTCCTTTACGGGTGTAAGTAGAGTGTAGTAAACGGCTAGGCGACGACGCTCTCGAAATTAATTGTGAGTATCAAAGTGATAGATAATAAGAGATTCTATATCGGATCGACGGGTTAACTTAATACGCGTAGAGTTCATCGTTCATTATCTTCCCAGGTGTGGGTGAGCGACACGGGAGACGGCGAGACGATGCCGGTGAGTATCCGACCGGGCGGCCGCAGCGCGATCCGCAGCACCCCACAGGGTCTGACGGGCACTGACGATTCCTCCCGCCGCAGATGTGGTGCCCGCCCACGCCGCCCTCGGGCGACGGCGACGTGTACTGCGAGAGCTGGGCGCGCGCGCTGTACCGGCGCGGCGCCGCCGACGAGGCGCTGCTGCCGGGCGTGTGCCGCCGCGAGCCGCGCGCGCCCCGCTCCCCGCGCCGCCGCCCGCCGCCCCGCGCGCCCCTCGCGCCGCCCTCGCTGTTCGAGCGCGGCGGCGCCCGGCCGCGGCCGCGCGCGCGCCCGCCCGCCGCCGCGCCGCCCGCGCCGCTCGACTGGCCCGCCGCCGACGACGCCGCCCTGCGCCGCGCGCTGCGCCTGCAGCGCCTGCCGCCCGAGCCGCCCGCCGCGCGCGCGCCCAACTGGGACTGGGTCGCGGACGCGCTGGCCGACGTCGCGCGCGCCTACCGCTCGCCGCGCGCCGCGCGCGACCGCCACGACGCGCTCGCCGACCCCGAGCGCGCGCGCCGCAAGCACCGCCGCGCCGCCGCGCGCCGCCGCCACGACGACGACGCGCCGCGCCCGCCCCTCCCGCGCCTCGACGCCCTCCTCCACGCCGCCGAGCGCCGCCGCGACGCGCCCAAGCGCCGCCTCGAGGACCCGCCCCACGCCAACCCCAAGCACGCCGCGCTGCTCGCCGACCACGGCATCGACTACGACGCGCCGCCCACGCCCATGGAGGTCGCCTCGCGCCGCGCCGAGCGCATCGCCAAGGAGAAGCTGAAGGCCGGCGCGCCCCCGCCCGCCGCCTCCGCCGCCGCCGCCGCCGCCCCCGCGCCCCAGCGCATCGTGGTGGCCACGCATGCGGCGCCGCTCCCCAAAGCGGACGCGAGCCGCCGGCCGCGCGCGCCCGCCGCCGCCCCCGGCGCCCCCTCCCCCGCCCCCGCGGCCGACAAGCCTCGCCTGGCGGCGCCGGTGGCCGTCGCCACGGTGACCGGCGCGGCGCCGCTCCTCTACCGGCAGCAGCAGGCGCTGGCGACCCGACACCACCTCAAAATATTACATCACGCGAGCGTGCCGCACACTCAGGTCAGTAGTCGTCGATGTTTGTGTTTAGTTCTATAACGTGTACAGTCGGACGGTACTTCGAAGTCGAAACTCTTTAAAAAATTAACTTGTGTCACTCACAGAAAAATATTAAAGGGATTTCAACGACTTGACTATTTAATTAAAATCATTTATAAACAAATATGGACATCACGTTACCATATAATTGCAGAAATATTACCTTGAAATAGAAATGATCAGTGTGCTCCCTCTGATATGATTAAGTGCAATGATGACTGGCTCATCCATCATACTCGTGATCGGATGCTGCTTGTGCCCCACTGTTCTGTTCGGGTTATTAACATTGATTAGACAATTTGCTTGTCTAATAGTGTATGCTGGTGACTCTATTCTTTCAAATTTCAATTAAAAATAAATCTATACTAATATATTGTATTGTATAAACATGTACAACATTTATTTGGAAAGAATAAGCTTAGTTTCTGGAAGAAGAAGAGTAGAACTGCTCGTCATCTCGAAATCGGAGTCGTCAGTTCGGAATGAACTGACGGTAGATTTGACATATCATAAGAGTCTGTATAGACCTACATGAATAACGATATTTTGAATTGGAATACAATTTATTTCATATTTTTTGTTTATCGATGGATTGTTCGTGCCCGCAGGCCGGCGCGGAAGTAGGCGGCGCGGCGCTACGTGCGCTGCAGCTGCAGCAGCTGCCGCGGCGCGCGCCCCCCGCGCACCCCGCACACCCCGCCACGGCCCCCGCCGCGGCCGCGCGCCCCGCGCACGTGCTCGTGACGCACCTGGCCGCCGCCGCCGCCGCCGCCGCCCCCGCCCCCGCCCCCGCCGCGCCCGCCGCACCCCCGCGCCCGCCCGACGCCAGGCAATGAGCCGCCCGCCGCACGCCGGTCCATCTTGCTCCTTCCATCGAAGGAATCATCTTACGGAAAATCGTGAACCGCCGCGCGTGTTGATGTTATGTAGAGAGATGGAAATGTATTGATGTTGAAGAAATGTATTACATAATCGACTGTATCGACTCATTAATATCTGTATTTTATTTAATACACTGTGTACCTAGTATTGATTACGTGCAGCAGTACCGGGTACATACTGTATGCATAATTCCTAAACTTACCTACTAAACCTAGAGACTTGTGCGGGTGGCATTAAGTCGACCCCATATATTTTTTTTTCTACCGAACCCCTTTCATTCGTCCTCGAGAACGATTTACGGCTGCCAAATTACAGAGTACAAAGAAGAAACAAATCTGAACCAGGATGCTGAAATTAAATTTGTCTTATGTGGTTTACTCGATGATATGATCCGCTATGTAATTACACCCGACAACTGTTATATCTAAGTAATGATCAAAGTAGAGTAGAAACCATCAGCAGTTTCACAGTTACTAGTTTACGAGTACAACGCATAAAGCAGAGGTCCTATTACATCCGGCGATATCGTAGGGAGACCCGCGACTATAATATTGGAATCAGCATTCGTTTTCACCATAAAGACATGTTTAACTAGCAACTTAGCTGAGGTAATTTGGAGGAGGAAAAAAATCCATAAAAAATAATAATTGTTTAAAGAGTGTTAGAAGTGTAACGCAAGTTTAATTCTAGATGGTGTTGATGATGATGATGATGATGCTGTTATAAAAGTAAAACACTAGCGTGTTTTCATTTTGTGCAAAAACAGTTGGGGTGTTGTTATGTTTTGAATAAATGTTAGAATTACGTACGGTTCTGTCGACCTAACCGTACCGTATCGTAAACGACCAATAAACCGTATATACAGACACAAGTGTTTGGTTTATAGTATTCTTGGTACTTGAATGTTTTGCATGGTCCTTCGAGCCGGATCGGGCATACGTTTCTGATAGACGTTTGAATATTGATACAATGGAAATAATATATATATAATAAATAGTTGAATTGTAACCGAACAAACAACAGAATGGTTAACAGGTACTGTACATTTTCTTATGGATGATAATGGAATGGAGTTTACGCTGACGGGGCACCAGAGCATAAGGTGAGGTCAGGTAGTCCATCATTATATATTCACCAGAAATTTCTCACGATGGTTTTCAGTGGGAACTGCGTGAAGGTTAATAGGACATGGTATGTGATGGTGATGATGATTACACACTGTGACACCCGTGGTAATGTTCTCGCAATGATTACATTTCCCGTCTTGTGAGCTGTAGCATTCTTTGATAGATGATAAGAAATTCGTATTTTTTAGAGTCGATTCGATGTTACTACTACTTCGTTATTTTTTTTTTTTTTATTAGGTCTACAAAACTGGATGTCTTACATAGTACATAACTTAATACACATAAAACAAACTATTTAAGTAACACATCCTTCTAGATGTAGACACAGCATGCATAACTTAATTTTTACACACACAAAATGACACTATACAATAATAATTTGCATTAATAGAGAATTATTTTATAAAGCTTTCTTGTATTTCAAGAAAATTACAATTTAATGTCCGTTTAATATTACTGACTGATGCACCGAAAATATCAAATATGTGTCTGACATTATTATAATTCTCACACATTCGATATACCGGGGAGTATTTGCCATAGTTAGTTCTACACTTGGGGAGATTAAAAGTTTTTCTATTAAGCAGTCTGCTACATGATCGTGGAACTAATATACCAATATTTTGTAGAATATCAGGGCACTCGACTATTCCGTGTAAGATTTTATATAAAAGTACCAATTCAGATGTTTCCCGACGTCTTGAAAGGGATATAATTCCATAATATTTGAGTCTAGAATTATACGAGGTAAGATGTTTACATTGATTATCCGAAAAAGCAAGATGGTAAAGAATTCTTTTTTGTACTTTCTCTAATCTCACATTGTGAACCTGGTAGTTAGGATCCAAACGGGGCTACAATATTCAAGAATACTCCGTACAAAACTATTATAAAGCAGAATGGCTATTTCAGAGCATTTGAAAAAATTATTTTGTCGTATTATAAAACCTGTAAGTTTAATATCTCTAGTTACTATTGCACTTATATGTTCGCGGTAGTCTAGTTTTTTGTCTAGTATCACTCCCAAGTCATTCAGCTGAGATACTTCTTTAAGTTGAACGCCATTAATGTTATAAAAGGCTTCTATTGGCTTTCTTTTTCGCGAAAATTTGATATGTGCACATTTAGATACGTTGAGAACCATGTTATTGCAAGTACACCAATCAGAGACAGCATTAATGTCGTTTTGTAGGCATTTGATATCGTCCACCGATTTAATGATTCTATAGATTTTAAGATCGTCAGCGTAAAGCTTATATTGTGACGTAATGCATTCACTAAGATCATTAACGAAAATCAAAAAGAACAAAGGACCCAAATGGGAGCCTTGAGGAACGCCTGAAGGTACTACTCTTGATTTAGACTTGAATCCGCGTAGCATAACGAGTTGCGAACGGTTTCTTAGGTAGGAATCGCACCACCTCAACAAAGACCCACAGATACCAGCGTGTTCTAATTTATTAATGAGTATATCGTAGTTCACGACATCAAAAGCCTTGCTAAAGTCAGTGTAAATTGCGTGTACCTCATAACCCTCCTCAAGCGCAAGTAAAATATCGTTTGTGTAACTTAGTAAATTGGTTGTTGTAGATTTTCCTGGCAGAAAACCGTGTTGATGGGGATCTATGGTGTGTTTAAGGTGAAAGTATATTGTTTTCTGGATGAGGGATTCGAAAAGTTTGGGTATGGCTGAGAGTATTGAAATTGGCCTGTAGTTACTAATATCGTTTAGATCTTCCTTTTTGTGTATTGGGGTGATATGTGCTAGTTTCCATAGGACGGGGAAACATCCGTTTGATCCGTTCGTTATATGTATATAGAGCATATGAGGTTTAACGTTCAAGTAATACCTCGTATAGCATATTATTATATATATATATAGGTACAGTACATTGCAATGTATAGTAAATGAAAGTCTTCAAAAGAAATTACAGTCTTGTAGTTTTAATTAGTAAAGTACAGAAACAAACAATATACGCGCGTCACAGCGTGCGCGCGCAGGCGCAGGCGGCGGGTGGAGGTGGACGTGCACGAGGCGCAGCGCCGCCACCAGCCGCGTCACAGCGTGCGCGCGCAGGCGCAGGCGGGCGGCGGGTGGAGGTGGACGTGCACGAGGCGCAGCGCCGCCACCAGCCGCGTCACAGCGTGCGCGCGCAGGCGCAGGCGGGCGGCGGGTGGAGGTGGACGTGCACGAGGCGCAGCGCCGCCACCAGCCGCGTCACAGCGTGCGCGCGCAGGCGCAGGCGGGCGGCGGGTGGAGGTGGACGTGCACGAGGCGCAGCGCCGCCACCAGCCGCGTCACAGCGTGCGCGCGCAGGCGCAGGCGGGCGGCGGGTGGAGGTGGACGTGCACGAGGCGCAGCGCCGCCACCAGCCGCGTCACAGCGCGCGCGCAGGCGCAGGCGGGCGGCGGGTGCAGCTCGAGGCGCAGCGCCGCCACCAGCCGCGTCACAGCGTGCGCGCGCAGGCGCAGGCGGGCGGCGGGTGGAGGTGGACGTGCACGAGGCGCAGCGCCGCCACCAGCCGCGTCACAGCGTGCGCGCGCAGGCGCAGGCGGGCGGCGGGTGGAGGTGGACGTGCACGAGGCGCAGCGCCGCCACCAGCCGCGTCACAGCGTGCGCGCGCAGGCGCAGGCGGGCGGCGGGTGGAGGTGGACGTGCACGAGGCGCAGCGCCGCCACCAGCCGCGTCACAGCGTGCGCGCGCAGGCGCAGGCGGGCGGCGGGTGGAGGTGGACGTGCACGAGGCGCAGCGCCGCCACCAGCCGCGTCACAGCGTGCGCGCGCAGGCGCAGGCGGGCGGCGGGTGGAGGTGGACGTGCACGAGGCGCAGCGCCGCCACCAGCCGCGTCACAGCGTGCGCGCGCAGGCGCAGGCGGGCGGCGGGTGGAGGTGGACGTGCACGAGGCGCAGCGCCGCCACCAGCCGCGTCACAGCGTGCGCGCGCAGGCGCAGGCGGGCGGCGGGTGGAGGTGGACGTGCACGAGGCGCAGCGCCGCCACCAGCCGCGTCACAGCGTGCGCGCGCAGGCGCAGGCGGGCGGCGGGTGGAGGTGGACGTGCACGAGGCGCAGCGCCGCCACCAGCCGCGTCACAGCGTGCGCGCGCAGGCGCAGGCGGGCGGCGGGTGGAGGTGGACGTGCACGAGGCGCAGCGCCGCCACCAGCCGCGCCGCGGGCTCCAGTGCGTCGCCCAGCGCCAGCGCGGCCGGACGCAGCGCGCCCCGCGCCGCGCGCACCACGTGGCCCACGAACACCAGCACGGGGCGCACCGCCGCGTTGAACGCCAGCGACAGCGCCGGCTTCACCACGTAGTCCGACCACGACTGCACGCAGCCCGACACGACGCCACGCACCGCCACCAGCGCGCATCTGCACCCACCGCACCCCACATATTATACTGTGCCACTGATATGCGACCGACACGTAGCCGAATATATCCATTCGAATGTCAGTACACAGATGTAACTGATACAAATGCATATATAATTAACTAACTGAGTAAAAAAGTATCAATCAATCATAAAATAATGGTCTAAAATTTAGAGTTTCTTATTATTGACCAATTTTTCTTTTAATATTTTCTGTCACTAATGTTAAGCGGATGTCGATGCTCAACCTGTAACGCGAGCTTCTAAGGACCGAACAAATGGGACGTGATAGTCAGATTGAACACACCTCTGCACTTGGAGGGCGAGTGCTAGAGGCGCGGTGAGGAGGAGCGCGGCGGCGGCGAGCGGCTCCGCGAGGAGTGCGGCGGCGCGCCGCCCCCCGCGCCGCGCCGCCCGCTCGCACCGCGACGCGCGCGCGCCCCCGCTCGCACACAACAACGCGTCGCCGCGCTCGAAGTGGTACACCTCCACGCGCTCCGGACCTGCACACCCGCACACTCATACACTCACACGCTCGCACGCCGCCCGGCCCCGCTCATGTTACGTACCATTACGACGCGACCTCACACACAATACAGTACAGCAGTAATCGTTATTCAAGTAAACTCGTTACGAGCACTTTTGAATAGTCATATCTCTTTTTGATTCTACCACTCATTCGAAGTGCAGATTCATCACTAGAAGAATGAGCAAGAAATTTGTGTGTTGCTCTTTTCAATAGATGTTTCTTTGTAAACAAATAATTACAGTATAACAAGTAAGAGGCGTGCGATAATCAACATAGAAATCGCTACGCACTCATTATTAGTGTGATCAGATAATATTGTCAGTGCTATAGATTTTAAGTTTTTCTATAAAAACATTATTATCACGTCATCACACGCACTTTGCGCATATAAACTTTTTTTCTAATAAGATATTTAGTATAGGAAGCCTACGAGATGACTCAGTCGTCATTACCCCGCTGCTTTTATTGCGATCGAGTTCGTCAGGGCGCGACGTATCAACGTGACGACGGCTCTCTGTGTCCGACTCACTGTTAGGTAGAGGAACAAGGGAATGTGAATACACTTGGTGTGTGTGCTAAGAATGACGACTTCAATAATAAGTCGGCAACTCGGGAAATGTCATTAGGTTACAGTGAGTATAGCGTCGGGGAGAAACAGCGCTCTAGTGAACTAGGCCACACCTGATTGTATGGGATGAGGGTCGTACAAAGCTCTGTTTATAACAAAATTAAAATAATCTTATTAAAAATATATTAATTCTTACAAATATACTTACAATATAAATCCTTTTATTTTAACTCTATTGTATTTTATTGCTCATTCTAAAAATTAATCATAAAAAACACCAAGACTTATACGTGTAATTCACTAAATACAAAATAAATAAATACCATGTTACTTGAATAACAAAAACAAATGTCCTAGTTAGAGCTTATGTACAGACATTACAGACAGCGGCGAGCATGTTTAGGTATCGTTCAGCACGTGCATGCGGATACATTTTTTCAAAACTGCAATAATATATCCGGTAGGTATAGTTAGTCCGTGAGTAACTTACTACAATTGGTCGAGTCCACTTGTTCATTTTCAAAATTCTTCAAAGGATGCCAATCAGTCGCTTTACACTTTTTCTGAAAATATTTTAATAATTTGATCCTAGTTGACAAACGCCTAACTGATTCACAACATTAGGATACTGGTTTTAATAAATATACAGATAAACAATTAAATAGTTTTATTCTTATGGAGTAATTTTTTTTTTTAATATTGATGTACTCTAAAGTATAGTTGTGTTTACAGCGTATTTTATTTAGTAGTTAAACACTAACAGGGATTGCTAGTAACGTGGACCGATGACCCCAGTACTAGCTACTAAGTCAAGTTGAACTCCACGCGGTCCCCCCTGGAAACTAACTATAACACGGAAACTATAACGAAAAAATATATATATAACACGTGTACAACTGTGAGCGCACCTGTGGAGTGGAGGCGACGCCCCCGAGCTGGTGCGGCGCCTCGCCCGCGCCGTCCCCCGCGCCCTCCGCGCCCCCCGCCCCGGCCCCCGGCGACGGGCGGCACGCACTGCTCGCGACACGTCTCACCATGTACATCACAATAGATATCAGTGATACCACATATATCTATGATATATATGATATCAAGTTTTTTTTTTTTTTATTTTTCTTTTCTCTTATTAATTAATGTAATTAGATAGATATAAAAAAAATATTCACGTTATAGGCACACACACACAAGGCACTGTAATATTAATAACAAAAATAAAAACAGATACACAATTACATTGGTCAGTAACAAAATATAATACAATACAGACAAAATAAAATACAATACACGTACAAAAAAGAAAACGATGAGTATGAGTATGAGTAGCGTAGTGTGTGTGCATAGCCCATACGCAGAAGGCAGCACCTCAGTGTATTGTTTGCAGCATACAAGCAGCAAACCACTGATATTCAGGCACTGCCCAGAGACATACGCGAGGACGCATGAAACAAGACCGCCGCATCTAATCAGCCCTATTATATTATCATTAATTCAAATTCAAATTCAAAAATCATTTATTCATGTAGGACATTTTAGCCCCTTATGAACGTCAAATTTTTACATTATAATTTTATTTTTTTTCCCTACCGTCCAGTTTGGTATATAGATCCAATAGAGAAGAACTGGCAAGAAACTCAATTGAATTACTTTTTTTTTAAAGCCAGTTTATTTACAATGTATTTTTAAATAGGTGTCTATGTCTAACATTAAATGAAAATTCAGTGCATGAACAACTATTGCCATGCACGCTCGTCATTCAAGTAATCGTTTAGTGAGTAATTTTGAATTTATTTAAGGGTAATTCCAACATATCCTTTGGTATATTATTGTAAATGTTTATACCTGTTCTCATAAAAGACCTATTTATTATCTTTTTTTAACGATACTTGGGGACAGCAAGTTTGTCATTAAATCTAGTATTAATATTATGAATATTGCTGTTTTTTGGAAATAAGTCAAGATTTTTATGAACATATAGGATATTTGAATATATAAATTGAGAAGCAACGGTGAGAATATTTGCCTCTTTGAATTTCTCTCTTAATGAGTCACGACTCTTCATGCAGTAGATCGCTCGAACGGCACGTTTTTGTAATATGAATATATTTTTAATGTCTGCCGTTTTTCCACATAGTAAAATTCCATAAGAATGTAAACTATGAAAATAACTAAAATAGACCAATCTAGCAGTATCAGTATCAGTGTACTGTCTAACCTTATGCACGGCAAAAGCCGCTAAACTTAGTTTCGCTGCAAGGCTTTGAATTTGTGCACCCCATTGTGTTTTATTAGTGTGATAGAAAGACAGTAGATTCTATAATAAATTCGAGAGAATCGTCATTTAATTTTATGTTGCAATTAGTATTAAAACTTTTAGACAGAGAAAAATTAACACATTTTGTTTTTTTAGCGTTTAACATAAGATTGTTAGTTGTAAACCAGTGCAGGAGACGCTGCAAAGCACTATTTACATCGTAATAATTATTAGTCATTCTATTAACTTTAAAAATCAATGAAGTATCGTCTGCAAATAATACTATGCCGCATCTATCCTGCATGGCATATGGGAGATCATTAATGTAAACTAGGAATAAAAATGGACCGAGAATAGATCCTTGAGGTACACCCATTTGCACAAGTGACCCGTCAGAAGTAGCGTTGGTAACCTTCACTTTCTGTATTCTATCAGATATATAAGATTTTATTCAATTTAAAGCATTGTCTTTGACGCCATAAAAAGCAAGTTTTTTTAGCAATGTATTATGATCAACGCAATCAAAAGCCTTAGAAAGGTCACAAAAACACCTATCGCATCCATTTTAGTTTCCCATGCAGCAAATACGTGTCTAAGCAATTCTGCATCTGCGTCTGTAGTTGAACGACCTTTGGAAAAACCGAATTGACTATTGTGGATTAAATTATTTAAATTGAAATAACTGAAACGTTGCATAAGGATTATTTTTTCAAAAATTTTACTGAGTGCTGGGAGTATAGATATAGGTCTATAATTTATTGGGTCACTCCTATCTCCAGATGTAAAAACCGGTATGATTTTACTAATTTTCATTATGTTAGGAAATTTACCTTCATCTATACATTTATTGAAAATAAAAGCAAGAGACGTCGCAATAATTTCTATTATACTATCCAGTATTTTAACAGATATACCCCATGGATCCACTGTTTTTTTTATTATTAAGCTGTTTAAATATTTTCAATAGTATTAATAATAATTACGTCATAATAGTAATAATAATAATTACGTACTCGGTATGACTAAAATAATAGGGCAAGGCAGTCCGCGACGCGTGCCTGACTGCGAAAGCTTCGGTAGGGCAGGCGAACAGTAGCGGTGCGGTGACCGGCGCCGCTGACACCAGGTACAGAGGCCCGCCCCCGCCACCCCCGCCACCCCCGCCGCCCCTGCCGCCCTCGACGTTGGCGACCCCCACCACTTGTTCGACTGGACACCGACCGTCGCCTTGTCCATCCTTGTGGAGCATGCAAATACATATTATATAAAGTAATAATAATATTTTATAGCGAAATACTATAAAATACAAAAAAGCATCAATGTAATTCGTTATAAAATCTTTCCCCTACGCCGCCGCGCCGCGCTGATCAGCTGAGTATGAGTCAAGTTCAATTAAACACGAAACGCGTACGAAAACGCCGTCGCTTGTGACATTACTATTCTTACATTTATGTATAGTTTTTCCTTTCTGTGGCTTTCATCATTGGCTTATTGGCTTAACATGAAATGACCCAGACACAAATACCTGAATAACTTAAATATCTAGAATGTTTACCCTTTCATACAAAAAAAAACCGAATTGGTTTAAGTGTATTCAAGTAATCGGGAACATACATAAAAAAGAAATAACCAATGGGTGAGGAACCTATAATAATAGTTCATGACCTATAATACCTATCTCTGGCTCAAAGCAACAATCGATACCCAGTAGGTATAAACATTCGACTAAAATTCGAAAGAAGCCGCCTGTCCGCCCTCGGCGCGGCGGCATCTTTTGAGATTATGTCATCGTCCTGGTGGCCAGGAATGGGTATAGCGTAGGGCCTAATTTTTTTGTTAGTTCGATTGTGTACTTTGATTTTAATGCATGTGTTTTGCGGAGTTTTGCCGCACTATAAAACTTTTTCGATTTTGTGTTGAAGTGAGATTAGATATTTACTGTTTTTGTTTAGTTTTTATGTATATTCTTATGGTGAATATTTTATTATTACAAATAATGGAACGTCAGTCGTCAGTCAGCACGTAATGGATTATTTGATGCCTGCGAATATGGACAAATGCTTATGTGCGTTACTACGTCTCAATGGATTGTTCATGCACAGTGCTACGAAAAGACCGACAACGACCGTACCATGTTCCTTGGTTTCCGGGGATTCGCTTCGCCGTGTTATGTACTCGTAGATTATTAATATCCGACCAGAATACCTACTATAATTTACGTATTAATGTTGTTTTGCAGTGTAAATGGTACGTACGAGTACGTTAGACATAAATAATTACCGACCAATAGTTTTAATCTCAAACTGCGAAAATTTTTGAAAAAGTTATGGCTAACCGCATAAACGATTTTATTGTGAAGAATAATGTCATCAAACCTATGCAATTTGGTTTCCAGAGAGGAAAATCTACATCGCTTGCATGTTACCACTTAATAAAAGATATCTGTGAAAATATTAATAATAGAATACCAACAATAGCACTATTCCTTGATATGACAAAAGCTTTTGATATGGTAGAACATGAAGCATTACTTAACAAATTGGACAATTTAGGTATCAGGGGAATTTCATTGGATTGGTTTAGAAGCTACCTACAAGACAGAAGTCAATATACCGAATTAATGAGTATGCAAAAAATTGTAAGAGAATCAGTACACTCTCAGTTTAAATTTAATAGAAATGGAGTTCCTCAGGGAAGTATTCTGGGCCCATTACTTTTCCTCCTTTACATAAATGACTTGCCAGACTATGTTGACCAAAAGTGTATTCTATTTGCAGATGATTGTACATTACTATGTAAGTGTACAAATTTAGCTACATTTAATAAAAATATTAATAGTGTATTGGATAGAGTTATACTATGGCTAAATAATAATAACTTGAAAATTAATCTACAAAAGACTAAATGCATTCATTTCAAGACATACTCCAGCCCAAAAATTGACTTAAATATATTGCATGATGGAACAAAAATAGACAAAGTGGACTCTACTACATTTTTAGGAATTACACTAGACGAAAACTTGAATTGGAAAAAACATGTTGACAATATTTGCAGAAAAATTAATAGATTTGTATTTGCATTGTTCAGACTCCGACAAGTGGCCACTTTACAAACTGCGCTCAATGCGTATCATGGGTTTGTTTCTTCTGTATTGCGTTATGGATTGCTAATCTGGGGCAACTCATGTGACATAGATAGAGCTTTTAAAGCTCAAAAAAAATGTATTAGAGCCCTTTGCAATGTCGGATGCAGAGAATCATGTAGACCTCTATTTAAGAAACTTGGTATTCTTCCGTTGCCTTGTATGTATATACTTGATATCTGCACGTTTGTGAAACAACATCCAAACTTGTTTAACACACATGATCAGATAAAAGACTGTCTCAGATCACAGAGAAGAAATAAAATATTGGTACCAAAGAGCAATTTGACGCTTTACCAAAGGAATGTATCATTTATGGCACAAAAAATCTTAATAAATTACCACGGGACTTGAGAAAAATGCCCTTAAATAAATTAAAAAATCGATTATATTACTGGTTGCTGGACAAGTGTTTTTATGACATCAAAGAATATTTATGTGATGATTGTTGACTTTTTTTTTTTTTTTTACTATATAATTAGAATGGTACATAAAACATTAATTTTAAATTATAATAATAATAACCTCAGGACAATTCACACAGCACCATCTAGGCCCAAGTTAAGCTAGCTAAAGCTTGTGTTATGGGTACTAGATAACTGATACAAATACATAGATATTTTTTTTCGTAAATACATACTTAATATACATAGAAAACACCCAGACCGACACAAACAATCATACTCATGAATACAAATGTTTGTGCCGTGCGAGGAATCGAACCCGCGACCATCGGACGTAAAGCGGTGTGTTAGACCGCTAGACCACCGAGGTCGTCTAAAAATGAGGTCGTTAAAATGGAATAATATTATAGATTATTCCATTTTAATATACCCAAAATTTGCATGCCCGTAAATTGGGGCAATTAAACAGTTGCCAATAATATTATTACCTGGACATATTATAATATCTAACTGTATAATACGCAAATAAATAAATTTCATTTCATTTCATTTCATTACGGTATCGTACTTATGTTCTGACGGGTCACCGTGCGCGATACTTTAAGTTGTATAATCACATTGCGCGCAATACATTGCGCGGCGTAAAAACTAAGAATCGTTATTTGTAATCGTTATTTGGCTGTAGTGCATTTACGGTGGGAAAATAATTTGTCATCTGATTCAGACCATTCATATGAATCAGCTGTTTTCGTTTTTGGCCAACCTGTCCCTTACACCCTGTATTGTATAGACCACCGAGGCCGTCGATGCATGCTGTGCCACACATAGTAGGACGTATTACTTACACAGTTTATTGTGTTATGTATGACGTCCAGTTCTGTACACATAACAAATTAAAGAAAACACTGTTGTATTATCAATATAGGTTGATATTACCTGCGTTATAGGACTGGAAGTGGTAGGCAAACGTGGTGGTGGCGGCGGCGGCGGTGGTGGTGGCGGGCCTCGTTGCTGTCGGTGCTTCTGTACCACCACCTACCAAACGATCACACACACTATGTATGCGCATTTAAAATGAGGACAACATATGATTTTAATTGTGGTATTCAGTACAAGGTCGAAGTTAGGCGGATTGACGGCAGTAGTGAAATATTAAAAATAAAAGTAGCCCATAGCAGCCTGTCATCACTGAAGTGTACTTACTTGAATGTATGATGTGGCATCATCAACCGAGGGTTGACGACCACCGCCAGCTCGGGCACGCGACTGCGGCGCACCACACACCTTGTCGTGCGTGTCGGCAGCCGCTGGCTCGTTGTAGACACTGTTGGCATCCGAAGGAAACTGGCTGCAGCCTGAACTATTGATGTCTGGGAACAATTAGTAATTAGTATTATCAAGTATTATCAAGGCATAATACTGCAATTTAGGGTTGCCAAGCCCAAATATTAAAAAACCAGGATTGAAATTTCAAAAACCTAAGACTATCAAGTTTAAAAACATAACGCAATAATAGTGTTGCAATAGTTATATTAATATGTAGTATATATTAAGTAATTAATATAATTAGGCTTTTTTTTTAACAAAACTGTTTGATATAATTATATTGTTGAAAATTAGTAAATAAGAGGAGCGCATATTAAATAACACAGGACGCTGTCAAATAACTATTGAGCACTTTCCAGGACACTTCGAAAACTAGGATATGTCCTGGGAAAAAAGGACGGTTGGTAACTCTACTGTAATCTAAATAACAAAACCTGAGATCATGTCGTAGCACTCCCGAACTCACTCAGGAGACTACACTTCGAAATTGAAACCACTTGGCTTCAATTGGCATTCTGTAGAGATGTGAAGTGCAGAGGCGAAGTGAAGCGAGTTTAAAAATGAAGGTTTGTGAGATGTGTTTCGGCTGAGTGAGATATGTCTGTGTCAGGAGCCGCTCCCCACAATATTAATAAATTGTTGTCATTCGCTAAGCTGGCACCTATGTAACAACAACACTATAGTACCGATAATACCTAGGTATGTGTTGGCTATTTCAGATTCTTTTGCTTCAACGCCTCTATCGGAGGTGAGCTTCGCGAAGTGCAGTTCATAATCGTATGTATTCATTACAAGGATGCACAAATTGTTCGGGCAATTAATTGTTTAATATTATATATACTTGTCAGTTGACATCAATCATTATCATCAATGTCACCTGACTATATAACAATATGCGCATACTGACAGTTTTTTTTTTTTTATCTATCTTGTTTTACCGCAGAAAGATTGTACTAGAGATTTGTCAAACTTTACGTGGATTTGATTATACAGAAAATGTAATGTCATATAATCACATAAAACTTTTTATTGTTAATGCTTAATAAAGATAATTTTAAACACAATTACGTTTACCATTTTTGTCAACAAAATATGTAGCAAAAAACGTAAAAGAAACGTGTAATTAGATTAAAAAAAGAAATATTCATCTTCAATCTATACAAGTAAAAATAAAAAAGGCGAGTGGCTTTTTTTTTAATGCGCTCGGCAATTATGGCTCAATTAATTTTGACGTGACTTCAATTTGGTAGATAGCTTATATAGTAGGGAGAACCTTAGAAAAAAAAATTGATAGTAGATCCACATCTACAGTTCACTGTAACACAAATGAGCAAGATCGATCGATGCGATATTACCCTCTGTATTAAATGAGCAAGATCGATCGATGCGATATACTCCTATGTATGCAGATAACACATATTGCATCCTGGTATGGGGATCTGCTGCTAAGACTACAATGCTTAAACTAAAGTTATGCTTAACAATCCTTTTAATTCCCCGCATGATCCCTTTATAACGCTGCGCAAGTACTAAGCGTCCGAAAGTTATACATTATGACAACACAACTAAACTGAAAACTGACAAAAAAAAATAAAAATAAAAAACTGCGAAATAACCCCACAACTACCACCAAGCGTTTCTGTACTCTTCCTAACCCTGCTACAAAAACTAGTTTTGCCAGGCGTTTCCCTCCATGTATGTATGATTCCATTTATTTACAATAGAATTAACTAATAGAAAAAAAAGACCGGTCAACGAGGTAAAACTTAACGTAAGCAATGTCTTGAAAAGTATGAATTATGATGATTGTGAAAACATACAGTAATCTCATTCATGCACCACCTACACACACAGGTACCATACACTAACACATACTCACTCGCCACCTCACACATTACTATATTAGTTTTGCTAGATAGTTTTAGGATATTTTAGCTTAGCAAATTGTACTTTTAGACTTAAAATTATTATAAGATAATTCGTATTCTGGTACGTACAGGACAGGCCCAGCCTAGTGTAGAAATCAATGCTATTTGGTTGGTCTATATTGGACCGCAGTTATAGTTATGTGTGTTTCTGCCGGCCGGCCACCATTTGTGTACATTACAATCAGTCGCCAAAATACAACCGCGAAGACACAACGTCGTTTCATTTAAATTTAAGTACAAAATTTCCACTTCTCCCAAAGCAAACAGAAAGCAGCTTTAACACAATCAACATATGGTCGAAATCGATCCGGATTGCAATTGCATTGTTTACCTGCGTTGAGAACAAAAGACCCACTGTAACTCGGGTCTCAAGATAAAAGGAGTTCGAGAAACATCTAATTTTTGTGAGTTATAATGAATAATAGAATTACAACGTTTTAAAACTTGAACATTATAAACATATTCAAGCTGTTTACTGCTGTTGGGAGTGAGCAGCAATACGAAGTGGATTTTAGAAGATTTGAAGTGTTTACGAAACGTCGTTTTAAACAAGATGTCCGTTGTTGAACAATACATGACAGTAATAGAAGACACAGCAAGCTTATTACAAAGAGCACAAATCAATTTAAAGAAGTGTCCAAAGCAACGATTAACACAAGGGTACATAGAAACTAGATTAAAATGCATAGAAGAATATTGGAACACTTTCAAAGAAGCTAATCAAAATCTATGCAAATCTACACCTCGAGATAAACGTGCCGACATACCTTACTTTGTCAATGAAGATTATTTTATTATAGAAGACCTGTATTTGTGTTTAGAAGCGGACCTGAAAGATATGTTACGTGGTATGCAGACTCGAAACAAAGAGCAACAATCGACTTCGTATAGCAATGTAGACGTTGAAGAAAAGACTTCACAAGTGAAATTACCCAGAATTGAAATCCCCGTATTTCAAGGGAAATATGAGGACTGGGCTACATATCATGATTTGTTCACATCATTGGTGCATAATAACACATCACTTAGTAACGTGCAAAAGTTACATTATCTGAAGACCAGTACTGCCGGGGAAGCAGCTTACCTGTTGAAACACATACAAGTTACAGATAACAATTACAATCAAGCATGGGATATTCTCAAAAACAGGTATGGAAACAAGCGTATGATACTTGCCTCCATTTTAAAGCGATTGTTTGGCCAGAAAAAGATATCTACACAGTCAGCCTACAATATAAGATCATTACTAGATACCACTTCAGAATGTATTAATAATTTACATAATTTATATATACCTACGGACTCTTGGGATCCAGTAATTATATATTTGGTGGTGCAAAAATTGGACTTGGAGTCACATAAGGAGTGGGAAGAGTATGCATATAAAGAAAACTCAGACGATTTACCTTCGTGGAAGGAGCTGAAGAAGTTTCTGGAATTTAAATTTCGTACATTGGAGCTTGTTAAGGGGGTCTTCCTATGTAATGGGTTGAAAAAATCGTTTTTTTTTTTTCATAAATTGCTTCCTTAACATGTCTAGAATACGGTAGTAAAGCGATTTTAGAAAATTCGAAGTCGTTTTAAAGATACAGCAGGTAAAAGAAAGAGCGGTTCGGAGCGGTGAGTTGGCAGTTAGAGACCGGGCCTATTGTGTACCGTCGGCTTTATACCTGGCCTCCCTTTTATTAATATATTTGTTTATACAAGTTTAGACACGTTTCTACAGACTTAAACAGAAAAGGAGCAGGTAAACTTACTGATAAAGTTATCCAAGAAATTACAAAATTCTACGGATTAGCAATTCGACGCCATCCAGATTCGCTTGAAGATATGAGAAAGGAAGTTTGGGCAACGTACTATCACAAATGTTCTTCTGATGAAAACCCTCAGCATCAATTTTGTCCAGAAGGCGAAGACAGTTGGTGTAAATGGCGTAAGGCTGAAGCTAATAATGAACTGGACCAATTTCATCACGATAAACCACCTCTAATTCCGCAAGTCCAAGAAGCTATCAAACCGGTTTTCGAAGATTTATCGAAAGACGAATTATTAATTCGTTGTTTAGGAGCAGAGACACAAAACAATAACGAATCTTTGAATTCTTTGATTTGGACTTTCGCTCCTAAACATCTTCATTCTGGTCCCAAAGTTGTTGAAATTGCTAGCTACTTAGCAGTTATTATCTTTAATGAAGGTTTTCAAGGTATTTTAAAAGTTATGTCGATTATGGGATGCCCTGTTGGTCGTGAAGCCCAAGCGTATGTTGAGAAACGGGATGAAAAGCGAATCTTACGCTCTGAGCGGCGCGTAAGTGATGTCGTTAAACAAGCCAGGATTGACTCAAGAGCTGAACAATCTGCTTTAAAAGAGTTTCACGAGGAAGAGGAGGGAATACTCTATGGACCAGGCATCGCCGATTGAGAGTAAGTTGATATTTTAATAGTTTTTAACGGACTTGAAACTTTAAACGCGTTTTTCTCAAAACTGTGTTTTTCAAACTTTCCTCCATTGTATCTCAGAAACGGCTGGACCGAATTACTTGAAATTTACAGGGCACACTCAATATATGTAAACGCATGGAATGAACTATTATCAATCGAAAATTTTCAAAACTTCGATTTTTTTATAGCAAAAAACAAAAAAAAAAACGCCTAATTTGCAACTTTTATTTCAAATGTCTATCAAAAATCCATTTTTTTTTTTTTTTTTTATATTCATTTGATTATAGGTCATTCCGTGCTTTTAAGCCTACAAATTAAAACGCCGTTTTTTTTTTTTTTTTTTCAGATAAGCCGATCAGCCGGAATCGTGGAGGAAGTGGGAGCTCTTTTTTTTTTTTTCGAGGCGGGGGTGTTCAGAGCGCTGTAACTCTAGTTTGACTGAATATTTTTAGCTGAAATTTTATATTTATACTGTCCAAATATGTGTTAATAAATGATAAAAAAACTTGAAGCTCTAAATATTTACTGGTCGTAGAAAAAAAAAATCCTAAAATATCCCTAAAAAACAGGCCGTCACATAGGAAGACCCCCTTAATCCCTATACATCATCATCAATAAAAGAAAGGCCAGTAGCTACTAAGGAACGAACTTTTCATACTACAACTACTGAAAAAACGTGTTTCATGTGCAAAGAGAATCATACACTGTGTCATTGTAAAGAATTTGCAAAAATGGACCCTCAACAAAGAAGTCACTACGTGAAAACCAATAATTTATGTTATAATTGTTTATTGCCCGGACATACAGTATTTAAATGTCGAATAGCCATGACATGTCGCATATGTCATAGGCGCCATCACTCTCTACTGCATGAAGATAAGAATAACGCTAACACGTCCGGTCACCTGGAGAAGTCATTACAACCTAACGTGTCAGCGCATTTTAGAGTAGAGGAGCGAGATTACAATACAGTGATTGCGTCGAATTATAGCAGTAATTGCGGGAAGGAGACAGCCTTTTTAGCAACCGCAATGGTGACAGTGAAGAATAAAAAAGGACATGCTGTTGTATTAAGGGCATTAATTGATCAAGGATCTGAACAGAGTTTTATAAGTGAAAAGGCGGCTCAATTATTACAATTAGAGAGAACACCAATTAAGGCAACTGTGGTTGGAATGGGATCTATGAAGTCACAATTAAAGCAAGTGGTGCAGGTTCAGGTTTCATCTAAATGGGACAACAATAGCAGTCATCATATATCAGCATATGTGATGTCAAAACAACTGACCACCAAAATACCACAGAGGGTTGTCACTGGACATAAGTGGCAACATGTACAAGGACTTATCTTAGCCGATCCAACATACTACAAACATGGGGTAATTGATTTGCTTCTGGGTGTAAAGGTTTATTCAAAAATAATAGAAAATCTATTAATCAAAGGGCCACCAGGGA